GTTTTGTTGTATATAAGATTGCATGTCCTCAAACATAAATAGGGAGTTTTATTTTCATAAGTAATGGTTTAGCTATGAATTATAGTCTTTGGATAAATGATTCTGCAAATTTATTCGAGTATAAACATAAGCAACGGGTTGTTCAACCTTTATTCTAATAACCAATCAATATTCATTTAATACTTTAGAGCGAAATTGACCAATATTATCAAGGCAAATTTTTTTAATGGCGTAATCTAAAAATTATGCTCGTAATTGGATTATTTGAGCAAACAATCTTGAAAATACAGGTTTCGAGTAGATTGTAAACATACATGTAATCATCTAATGGATGCATCTATTAGAATCATAAAATATCTAAATGAACCACATGATGGATGAATTAGTCCACATATAGCACCTTGAATATATTCTAAAAATACTAAAAATTCAATCTTAATTTTATTTGATGATGGATTAATAATTATTTTATCTTGAAAACATGCAGAACATAAAAGTTCATTAGATTGAAGGATCTTCCGGTCTCTTCAATAGATGCTCATATGAACTTTTAATAATAATTTTTTGCTTCATAAAAGACTCGGGATAACACAACCAGTCATGTCACATAATAAAAGCATTTGAATTAGTAAACTTCGGTTTACTATAGTATTTGTTTCAATCATTCAAATGTTTGTAATAAAGACTAGAAGAGAAAACATGTAATTTTCCTAATATATATTTTCTACCCGATGTAATAATTATAATATTTAAGTATTCAATATTTTTTACATTTCTGTTTTGATATGATATCCATTTAGATGAATATCTTTGAAACTCAACAAATTTCTATGAGACTTTAGAGAGAATAATGTATCATTTATGATAAAATTTATCCTTTCGGATAATAATATATTTGTCTTTCTAGAGCCTTTAAATTTCGTTACATTAAGTAATAATATATTTGCTCTTTTAGAGTTTTTAGAAGTTGTATTTTCAAGTAATAATCTATTCACTCTTCTAGAGCCTTCAAAATTTATCTCTTTAGATCTTTTTATTAAATTAATGTTATCATATATCATATTAACACAAAATAAATAATTAAATAAACATAAAATAAATAAATAAATATATTCTTCATAAAAATAAATAAATAAATAGAAAAATAAATTTATAAATATCACTATGCAATAGAAATTATAAGAAAATATAAAATATCTTATTTATAACTAGAAAAGCTAAGTAGTTATTAATTTCAATTATCATCATTATAATATATAAAATTGGCTTCTATATTTGACTCTTTTTTTTTTCAACGAGCCTTGGTTAGGCTTAATGAGGTGTTTTGACATACGATAGGTAAGCGACCAATATCTCTTCATGTCATGTCTATAACATTAATTTTCAAAATGCTAAATTGATCCATTTTTATTCTTTGATTGTTTTTTCTATAGTTTATCTACTTCGGCGGTGAGATATATTATTATGATCATCGTGATTATAACGATAACTATTTTGACATGATCTGTAGTTATGTTTATATCTTCGTCCATACCTAAAATTATTATAAGTTGTCACATTCACTTCGGGAAATGAAATAGATCTAGTTGGATAAGATTCATAAATTTTTATCAATAACTCTTTTTTTTTTTTTTTTACCTACAAACAAATATGAAATTAATTCAGAATATTTTTAAAAGCCTTCTTTCTTCATATTACTACTATAAGAGCTTATTCGAGGTGGTAAAAGTAGATAATATTTTCTCGGCATCAAGTATACATTATTAATAATTCTTGCTCGAAATGTTAAGAGCCACAAAATAAAGTTTGGTGAGGTTTGATATGATCAAAATTCTATAATAAAAGATATAATAATAATATTAAAAAATAAAAACAAACATAATAATAAAATTTAAACTTCTCAAACAACATATTTTAGGTTATTAGATTTAAAGTAAAAGATAAATTAGATACATACTTCTTAATGATAAAGATAATTTAGATCTTTTGATAGAATATTCTTGTAAAAAAATAATCCAATCGTTGAAACAAATGATTAGAAATATTTTTATAGATACATACTCTATGGTCTATTATTCGATTGATTAGAGATTTGTGCTGATAACGTGTTATAAAAAATGATAAAAATAGTAAAACTAAAGAGAAAGATGATAAAAAAAATGAATTCACCGTAAAAAAAGTGAATACAAGAGATAACGACTCTAAATAATTCTCCAAATCTCTACAAAATGCATCTACTCGGACTAATGAACAATTAAACTTATTTATAGGCTTCAAGATTAGGAAAAAAATTGAAAGGGATTATGACTATTAAAAAGTGCATAAATAATTTAATCAATTGCATCGTACTTTTAATTTCTTATATTAAATGATAAATTAAATCACATGAATAGTGAAAATATGAAATAGACATTCATTATTTTATAAAAAATATATTTTTATTTCTAAAAAGTGAAGATAATATAAATTTTCACATTAAATTTAAATTTTAAAGTTATTATTAAAAGTATACAATTGAGAGTAGTATTAAAATTATAGCTACCAAATAGTCAAACAATACAAATATCATATACGTTTTTTTCTTTTTTATAATTCCAATTGAAGTAGATTACCATTTATAATTTTGAAATTAAATAACTAAAAATTTAATGTAAAACAAACTGGGGGGGGGGGATTGCAGTTTTATATGTGTTTTTACAATTATATAGAATCATAATAATTTACAAAAATACTTAGTTTGCATTTCTAATTAGCCTATCATTCATAGTTGTTACATACTTAAAATATAACTAAAACTATCAAATGAATTCTTTCTATAAATAAAAATTAAATATCAAACAATGTTATATATTGAATTAAACTATTGATTTTTCAACATCTAGAGGGAATGTATGCAATTTTAATGTTTTTTTTTCAAATATTTTGACCAAGATTATCATTATCAAACTATCATTTAAAGTTGAAAAAAAAAATGAATAACATGGAAATAACTATGTGGATTTAAAGGGAAGACACACAACTAAAGATTTACTAACCGCTCTTATGCCGAAGAAGAAGGGAATCAATTAGAATGTAGGGGTGATCATTTGGTTTTTCTGTTCGGTTTTGGTTTTTCTTCGGTTAACCGAATTGACTAAAATAAAAATCAAAACCGAACCAAATTGAGGTTTGATTTTTCGGTTAAAAAACCAAAATTTTCAATTCGATTTTTTGATTTTCGATTAAAAATCATTTTTTTAAACAAACCAGATCTAAATAATTCGAATTGCTGCGATTACGACTAATTATGCGAAGGTTGTGTGTTTTTATACCTAATATTATTGATTGTTTTGTATGTGTGTGTGTCTATATAATAAATGTATATATTTTTAAAAAGTTTAAAAAGATTCATTAGTTAATTTTTATATTAATTGTTGATATATTTCTCCGATATAGTCTTATGAAAAAAATATTAAGATATTTTTTAAAAATTTGTATTTATATTATTATAGGTTTTTATTTAAGAACGAATGAATAGAAAAAAGAACCATGCTTTTTTAACAACAAAATCTATGAAAAACATAAAGAAAAACGAATGAAATACAAAATTTTATTAAAAATTATGAAATTAAATAAAATTTTTATCTTTTTTTTTAATTTAATTTATATTAGTAGAAAAAAATAAAAGAACTAAGATATTGACTATTCATTTACTATTGTTTTAGACTTAGATTCACTATTCATTGTGTTGCTTGATTTTTTGTCTCCTCGCTTTTTGTTAATCTCTTTTACCACTCAATGAATTTGTGAAACTCCATTTTTACCCTTAAACTGAATCTCCTTTTAGTTTTCTTTTTGGGCATTTTTTCATCATTTCTTTCTATTTTTCTTTTTTCGGATTGAGCATTTAATGCTCATTTCTTCTTTCAATGTTTTTTTTCTTCTTATTTTCGACACAGAAGCCAAAGCCACTTGCTATTTTAGAGTGATTGTAAATTAATCCCTCTTTCTTGGAGAAACAAATTAATTAGTCCTTTTGGTTCAAAAACTAATTTTTTTTGTCCTTTTTGCTATTTCATTGTTTTTATTCTTGGTTTTAAGAAATAAAGAAAGAATAGAAAAATAAGTAAAAATATGAGGAAAAAACATTTTATAAAATAAAAAATAAATTATTCATATTCAACACTGATTTAAAAAATTAAAAAATTTATTTTTGAAACTAAAAGAATTAATTAATTTATTTTTCAAAACGAGATGATCTAATTTATAATGTAATTTGTAATTTAAGAATCTCTTTTATCATAAATTAAGAAGTAAAATTTATGGGAACTAATTTTGTATTAGTTTTTATTTCAATTTATTGACTTTAATATATTTCATCTAATTTAGTTTTTTTTAACATATATATAGTTTTGTTGAAAATTGATTATGTATCTGCATGCATAACACTAATTATTTGTAGTTTATTCTTTTTTGTATTCTAAAATTAATATTTTTTAAATAGAATAATTGAATATATATCATTAATTTTGTTATAAATTAATTATGTATTTTCACACATAACCGTAATTATTTGTTATTTATTTTTTTTAATATTCTAAAATTAATATTTTTTAAATAAAATAATTGAAATAATGTTTTGAAAGAACTTTTCAATTATTTAAATACAACTTTTTATGCTAATATTATTTATTATTTTGTTAATAAATATATATAAATAAACGATTTTGCTCAACAAATAGATTTGATTTATATTAATTATGAGAAATAAGATTTTTACTCATACTATATCATACAAATTGTTGATCGTATATACATAATGATTATCTACCCGGAGCATATCGTGGGTATACAACTAATTATATCTAGAACACATCATGAATAAATCTGAAAGACATGTTAAGGACACTCCTGCCTTTATACCAGTTTTGTACATAAAAGTTGTTTGCTTAGGTTTTATTAGTCAATAAAACTAAAAACTGGTTCATATAGACTCTACACCTCCTCAAAGAAAACTAAATTCAACACTCTGCTATGGGAAACACAGAGCCGATTCTGTCTCCAAGGCGGTAGCATTTTATGTTAACTGGGTAAGGCCCCAGCTCCACATAATTATCTTCTCCACCCACATAAAAGCAGAGGGTATACAACGCAATTTCAAACTCTGGACTCACTCCAACTAAAGTGCTCGACACAGATTTCAGAACTCCATTCCATTCAAACTGGATTGTAAGCACCTGGCTTTCCGAGTCAGGCTGCAAAATAGAAAGATGCAAGGTGAGATTTTGAAACAAGGTGCAATATCAATTCAATGCAGAACAAGCATTCATCTGTAACATTCAGATTCCATAATAGTAGATCAATAGTGCCACAAACCCCAATTGGAAAAAAAAGAGGATAAAAAACTCTCTTCCTTTTAGGACTTTCTATATTAAATTTTATGACTGACTGTGTATATCTTGATTAATACTGTCCTATAGGTACAACAGGATGAACTTGGAAGCAGGTCGACGTTTATTGCACCCACAAAAACTCATATGCAATAATTATTGGCTCAAGAGTTAAATAAGTCAAAGTGAGATAATTTATATACAGTAATTATTAAGCATATGATAAGAACTTGGACATCATTATTCTACATTTTGCAACTAGTTAGATATACAAACTGAATCAGGCTTAGTGAGGTTGAGAAAAGAAGAGGCAGAGTAAACAGCAGAGAAAGTGGAGTCTCTTTCAGTGACAGCCAGTAGATGTCCCTACTAATACAGGAATATCAGGAATCATGAGAGTCGGGATAAATAGCATAAATGCAGATGACACATAATAAAGGTACCATTTACTGCAAGGGTTTTTTTTTTTTTTTTGTTCTCCTCCAAAATTGGAGTTCCTTACTCCCTGCATCTCAGCATTCTAATGGAACAAAAGTGAGAATAAGAACACTTACAAGCTGCCCACGCCTCCGAGGGAAAATATAACCTTGATAATCAACAGTTCCCTTGGCTTCTTCCAGGTAAAACTGATGAAGTGAAAAGGAAAGCAATAAATCAGATATATAACTCTAAGCATTTGGTAACAAAAGATGAAAGCAAACCATACAAAAAGTAGATAAGAAAAAAGAAAGGGAGTGAGCAGAAAAGGGAAAATTATCCCTTTCTTGATTTCCAAAATGCAACTCAATAATATATGTTAAGAGTACGATTCCAGGAAAAAAAAAAAAAAAGAAACTACTGATGAATCAACTGATTTTAGGTTTGATGGAGAACCAGTTTTCTGCATCTTTGCTTATAATTGCTTAGGTAAATAAGACTGTGCATTAAAAGTTTTGATCAAAAGATCATGGTACCCACTGTTGTTGTTTACTAATATTCCTCTGATTTGTCACTTAAGCGAAGAAAGAAAACCATAAAGCCTTTAAAGCATGTTAACCTTCTTTTTTGGCAATCACTGATTTGTTCTTTGTTCTTTCTAGGGAAGGCAAGGTTACATTTCTCATAACTAACAATCAAGACTCAAGGTGCAATTTATAAGAAAATTTAACTGTGGACAGACTTCAGGCATGCTTAGTTATCAATCATTCTTGACAATGACAGTTTCCTTACGATTAGGTCAGTCTTACAATTTTTCCATTGAGTCAATTCAATAAAAGATGCCAAAGGAGCAAAGCATGCAAGAACGAGACATGCTTGAAACAAGAGAAGCCACCATCGGTGGAGAAACAACATTCAACTAAAATATGATGTATAAGAGAAAATTTAGAGTGAAACTCTAACGAGACATACCTGAAGCCAGTTATGGAATCCAGAAACTTCTTGTTCCCCACGTTGCTTGATTTCTCCCACAAAAACATGCTCAAAAGCAGAAGAGCTACTGAATGTACCACCTCGACCATACAAATCAAACCAGAGACTAGTCAGTATTCTTTTAAAATCTTGGTAATTTTCGGACACAATGCCTTTGGATGCAAGATACTTGTGAAGATATTTAATTGGTGCAGTTCTACTGATTTCTTCTATGAAAGCAGCTTGCTCTTGCCTCTCTTCAGATGTAACTACTTCTTTGCTCCCTTGATTTGGATTATAATTATCCAGGAGAGAACAGAAACGAGAAAAAGTTGGCCTTTTAAATACGTCTTCACTCAGCGAGCTAAATAGGCTTCCTTGTGCCATATCTTCCTTCTCATAGACCTTCTTCCCTTCACCACAATCAATCCGATAATCCTTGCCAGGAACCAAACGATTGGTGTCGAACTCCCAAAGCCTGTTGCAAGCTTGTGATAAATCAGCAAGCTCCTCTTTTGAAGGTCCTATTCTTGTACTGTCTTCAACCTCATTAGAGTATTCTTGTTCACTGGCAGGTCTTTTGTATCCATTCCATTGATCCATATGGATCTGTCAATATAACATTTAAAAAGCAGTTGGCAAGTCAGAGAGAAGAAGAAAAGGCGACAAGTTTTTCATACAATATCGCAAAGCATCATACATAATTGTGACTAGGAAGAATCATCTTTGAATCCTTGTATTTCAGACTCTTTTACGGTTCTGCAATCTAATAAGCAGAGCAGCAAAGCAAAAACTAACAATTTTAATACAAGTACAAATTTAAGTAATTCAAAAATCTATTATAGACACCACAACTTATATTTAGCATCATTGTAGCTGATCAATATCACACACCTTTCCTTGATCCAACTTTTGACAAACTGGCCATTTTTATGTCTCTTAGACCAAAGGAATCTTTTTCAGAGCAACCAAATCAAAGCTAACAATCTTAAATTGACAGTAACCAAAACATCAACTATATACCAAAAAAGGCACATGGCAACATACTTCAGAGAAATACATCATATTTGCTGCTGGTCATTACGTTACAAAACATTGCTAACAGTTACATTGCCATCTGCATTTTGAAAGGTATACCTTGTGCTGTTGTTTAGGATGCCTTTTCCCCACAGTCTCCCAACCATCATTAGTCTCCTCTCCACCCTCCTGTGTGATCAAATTAAAGATAAGAAAATAGTGCTGTGAACTTAAGTTAGCCGATCTCATGACATTAGAGTAGCTCGAAGCCTCACAAAATCCAGTAACCAACCTTTCTATTCCACTGGTTCCGGCTATAATCATGCTGCTCTCCACCTTCATTCCTTGCATACCCTTCATTCACGGCCTATGTAATCAATGAGTAAAGAAACATCAAATTATTGATCGCCTTGAAGGTCTAGAACCCTCAGTCTGCCACTGTTGTTTTCCTAGCCACAATTCCTTTACTGTTACCATAAGAAATTAAGAATTGCCTTGTATGGAAAAGGCTGATTAAACGCATAACGCTTTCCTGCAACACCCCTGTTGTTTTCCTAGCCACAATTCCTTTATTGTTACCATAAGAAATTAAGAATTGCCTTGTATGGAAAAGGCATATCATCATATGATTGCTCTTTCCACATAGATAGATTATTCCTCTTGCTTTTCACTCATTAATTAAATTCAACATTCACCATCATTTTCATATTTGATATTGACGGTAACTTAACCATCTAAATAACCTTCTTGAAAATTAACAACATGAAATTAATATGAAAAAAAAAAAGGTAAAATCCAAGTAAAGTGAAAAAAAAAAAAACAAACGTTTTGGGGTCGCCTTGATGGTCTAGAACCCTCAGTCTGCCACTCCTCATTTCTTCTTCCTTCACTCTGGCAATAGAGTAGAAAAATCTAATAAACAAACCTCCAATCTCAAACAAAATACACATTTCAATTGTTCAATTTCAAAATTCAAATAAATAAATAAAAAAAAACCTGTGATTCCCACTGATTGGTTCGATTATAACCTTGCCTACGGTTACTACTCTGACGATTGTCATCGTTACCCTGCTCCTCACCCGATACCACCTGCGCATTTTAGCCGCAATAGATTTATTAAAAAAAAGTATTCCAAGGAAATGAAGGACAGAAAGAGACATAGTGCTGATTACCTGAGCCCAGGACGATCTGGACCGTTCATCGCGGGATTCATCGTCTTTTTGACCGAGATGGTCGAGCGCCACGTCCATGAGGCCCTTGATCAGACCGTCCATTCTCTCAGCTCGTTTCCTTTTGACCTGAAGAGTGAGAGAGAGGAAAGGAAGAGATGTTATAGGAGGAGAGAGGGAGTGAGTGAGTGTGAGATCTGTTAGATTATATGGATAGATGAGGCAGTTGAATAAAGTCAGAAAGTGAGTATTCAAGATGGCGGGTAATGGCATTCTTTGTAATTGTTTTTCTTGTTGCCGACAAATTGAAAGGTCATATCCGTTAACACGTAAAATTCTCATTATTTAATATATACTATATTAAATAATAATAATATCAGAATCCTTAAAAATTGTGATGAAAAACCAATAAAATGACCAAATTAAAATTAATATGAAAATGCAGAAACTTAATACTGGTTTTTCAAAACAAAGAGATCGGTTACATTATTTTCCTATATTAAAAATTTTAAGTTAATTATCTTGTACGAATGGTTAACAAATGCAAAGGTAAGCATTTATAATGTGCTATATATGTCATATAAACATTTTTTTTTCTAAAAAAAAACAATTCATAAGACTAATAAGTTATTTTCTATCTCATTTTCCATGATACAATCAAACATGGTAAAATCCAGCCTTTTTTTATAACACAACCAAATACTAAAAAGCGATCCAATTTTTCATAATTTCTGACAAACGAGACTTTAGTTTACATTTTATTTGATTTGATTTTAATCGGGATCTAAAATGATATTATGCTTTGATATTTTTAAGTTTTGCCTAAAGAAATGATAAATAATACGAAAAACATCATATAATTGTTTCTTAACATCATTTTTTTCTAATCGCAATTGCTTTGGCCTTTCTATTTGTAACAGATTGTGTTTTATTTTTGGCAAATATTTCCATAATTAATATAATCTTGACCAAATCTAGCCGATTGATAACGGTCATCTGCTGGCTTAAAAAGTCATTTTCCTTTAGCGTAATGCAAATAATAATAATAATAATAATAAATTACAAAAATCAAAGACAATTTATCAACGGGCTTCATTTGACGTACATTTTCTCAACTACGAAAAAAATTGAACAAAATTGAAAAACCAAACTTATGATTCGATGTGATTTTAACAAAAAACGTCTGTACTGTGATTCAAAGCACAATTTTGATTACAACTCGACTCATGTCAAGTACATTCTTCGGTATCTAACTAAAGAGCCAACAAAAATAAATAAATCAAACTTTTACATTTCAACAAAGCAACAAGGTAATAATCCAACCATTTAACTCGAGCATGAGTTAAAACCTAACATTCACTCCATTACACAGGGTTGCTGTTTCAACACATTCGCATGCGGCCTAGAATTGTTTTATTAGGCGAGATGAAGACAAGCCTTTACCTTCAGAATCTATCAAGCTACAATATGAGACCCTTACAAAGGAATCATAATCCAAAATATTATCCTAAGACGAAGCGAAGAAAAAGGTAACCACTTTGATGTTCAAATAAATCTTTCTCGACCATGCATTTACTCCTATACTGTATTCCTGATGATAAATAATACGTTAAGCGCCTTGATGTAAACCGAAAGCTCACCAATCACCACGTTATTATAAACGGACATTCCCAACTGCAGAAAAATTGGGGACAAGAGATTCACTATTTTGGAAAATTTATATTTTCATGTATCAAACAATCTCTATTGCAATTATATTTACAGCCTGAGGATGGTTCACTGAGGTTCTGATGATTGTAACCGAGGCCGAAGGTTGTCAGCCACCCTCATTGGCTTCCAATCAGATTCTTCCTTTGTCTGCCTAAGAGCAACAAAGTGAAGCGCATCACTCTTGACCTGATAAACATGACAAGCCCACGGGTATGAATCTGGTGCAGACCAAACTTTCTGTTCTTCGAATTCTGTTTCCTCCACTAGTGATTCGGCTACACAGTATACCAAATTGGGTTCGGGCTCGTCAAAGTTGGATACAGCAACGCATCCAGGAGACACATATCCTTCTGGAGCCCGTGGATGCCAAACAGATACTGGAGCTTTGTAGTAATCCATGCAATTCCTCCATACCTGCACGTCTCCATGTTATACTTATTTTATGGCAAGAAATTGCTTGTGTTCTAATCAAAGACAATTGGTTACTGTAAAATTTGGAATGCAAGGAATGCCATAGCAAAACAAAATTATTAATCATTCTTTAAATTCTTGAGCCAACCACCTTTAACAACCAACAAAGAAAAAATGCTAACCAACTGAATGGCTTTGCACTTTGAACAAAGGATGAAGCCACTGATGCTATTGGATCAATCAGATCACAAATAAGGTTGTGATATTTTACTTAACAATGAGTATGAAGCTGGAAAAACTACATGCAGGATTTAAAAAAAAAAAAAACTCTCTTTAAACAAATCTACTTATGCCATGAGTTTTGTCCCCATAAATGTGCACTTCCCCTTCTTTAGCAAACAATACCATCTACCAAGCCAGTTGCAAGATCTTATAAAATATGGCTCGTACACTTGGTTGATATTTTTCATTAATAAAATAGACAGAAGCTTCTTACCAGGTCATAACCCAGCGGAAGTGCAAACAATCTGTCAATATTCTGATAAACAGCAGCCACGTTTGGAGAATGACTGCCAACATGAGCTATGTCCCCAATGGAGATATACCTGCTAGGAAAGACACATTTTCTAGTTTCAAAAGAGATTGAAAAAACTAACATCATCTGATGGAAAAAACTATAACACATAAACAAGGGTAAAAAACAAAGGCCTCCAGAGACTAAGAAGAGTAATACTGTGAATAACAACAATCTTATATGAATATCATCAAAGCAAGATAATTAGAAGCAACGCTAATTTAGTTCAACTTCCTGGTCATTTATTATGGATTTCTACTCGTGATAAAATTTTTTAAAACCTTTTCACTTTACAAAGTGTTACATGAGAAAATAAGGTATAAGGGAAATCAGCACCCCAGCCACTTCCAATGTCCTTGCACAGAAGCTCACCATCAACAACAAAAATAAACTCTTGAATAGAATAAAAGAAACTACAGACACTGACTTATCAATTTTTCATTTCCCTGGTATATGATATCTCAAAAGGGAGTTTATTTACCTTGTATTTTTCATCCACAATGAATCAGGATAAAAGGAGAACAAAATCTTAACTACCCATTTCAACAGAAAAATGTTCTCTATTTCTAAATAGAGGATTGAAATAATAATCATTAAGCAAACACCTAATAATTTGATGCAACCCACAGGGTAAGACGCTAAAGTGTGAAATGCTGATGTAGTAAATCTAAGAAAACAGCTATTTGTGGCCATATGGGATTTCCAAGAACATAAAGTATAAACCGGAATTACCCGTCTGGACAAATGGGTCTCCAAATGCTACATATTCCACTCTCTTCTGAAACCTGAAAAACCAGGCAAAGTTTTGCATTTATATGCATTATGCACAAATCTGAATGTATCACGACCCATCAATTAAAATATAAATAAAACAATAACTGAGTATAGCTTGATAAATGTAGAGGCACCTGCTTCCTACAGAGTCTGCATCGGCTTTTTGATTCTATTTCACTGCTCCAAATCTTCAAAAAGTTGATTGTATGTTTAACAAATCTCCCTTCATCAGATGCATAATTTGATGAAGATAGCTCTCTTGATTTGATAATTGCTTTGTTTGGATTATGTGGTTCTCTACCAGCAGCTTCACTCCAAGCAAAATAGACATGTCTCTGGCTTGAAGGAACCTAAGCAGGCAAAACCCCATCGAAATTATGTATATGCAGTAAAATTACTTTTCAATTCAATGATAATTTTTTTTTCAAACAAAATTAACGATTTACGGACAACTACCTTTAGAACAAGGGTTTTCATGTCATACTGGTACGCTTTCCACACTCTGTATACTACTGAACAGATCTTAATAGCTTGGCCATCTGTTCCTTCTGATTCTTCCCCATCATTGCACTTTATGACCCGAACAAAATTTTCTGATCTCCTAAAATTTTTGAGATGGAGGAGCAAGTAAGAAGGTTGGTGACGGCCTGCTTTTGCCAACTCCAGGGCCATGAGCTCTTCCCATGGCACATCCCACATGATTTTGGAAGGCTTCTTATCTATCTTGTCTGGATTGAAGCACTAGATACAAGAAGGCAGAAAGACAAGTGCGTCAGATCAGCATGATGACCAGGAGGGAATGTAAAATATTAGATGACCAGTAAGCAATGGATAATTCACGAGACAAACCTGCAGCAGCATGACTCGTTTATTGGTCACTAGAACAATCTTTTGATAAGGCACGAAAAAATGGTCTTCGTAGTAATCAGACCATGCAAATTTTGAGGGTTCCTTGAATATTTCAGTACAGCCAAAATGTCGACTTGCTTCAGCAAGGTAAAGTATCATCTGGGAACCAAAAGAAGAAAGTTAAGAAGCATATCATCAAGAATTGTGTTAACAAGTTTTCCTGGTTAGATAATCCAAGAACTAGGACACTTCAGATTTAATTTATAGACATGCAATAATGAGTTCTGACCATCCTCGATAAGCTTCAAGCTGGACTTTAATTCCATCAATAGGGTGAGAAGTTCTACCTCCTAATTTTCAGTCTGGCAATGGGAGAAAAATTATATATTGGATCTCCCTTGCTCACACACATGAGCACCAATGTGCCTGGCCACAACTATTTAATCACTCCATATCTTCATTATAAGTTTGTAAAAGAATCTATTTTGCAGTACACAGATTGTTAGACAATGCCCAATAACAAAAACTGAGTACAGCAACGGCAAAGCAACTCCAAAAAGATTCCCAGTATAGGTTACTAGTTAACTTTGAATTAAGAAAGATAACCATACCAATACGATAGTTTTCAAGTCATGTTCTATAGCTAATGCAAAAGGTGAAATGTACTAAAAACAGAAAAAAAATTTTTGATTCTTTTAAGGCTTCAGACTTTTTTTCAATCTGAGATGCCAAGCCATTCACTTGTAATATCATCGTGCAGAGGTTACCAATATACGAAAAATAGTAAATAACAAAATCCTCCACCACCCGTTTTCTATTTGTTTTAACACGTTTTCATTGACCAGTAATACCAAGCAATGACTAAAAAAAGAACAAATCCGTCCATTTTATTCTAGCAGACACAAGAATGGTCACCTTATCAAATATTCCAAATCGTGTCGAATATGTTAATTCACTTTAAACTTGCCAAAAGCTTGTGAACGTGAAACCTAACAGCTTTGAGGATTTGTAACAGGTTCAAAGAATTTAATTTTCTTAATCTAGAACCTTCCATTCAACTTGGTTAAAGATAACAAACTCTCTCAACACAGCTTATATAAAAGCAATAGCAACTGTACCTGCCCAGAAGCCTCTCTCTCACAATACTCTCTCAGAATACCATCAGCACGAATAGCCCGTGGGTTTCTGATCCTCTGGGGGTGGTCTTGTTATTAAGAGCCCCTAAACACTTTGAGCAACTTGCACCTATTCCATCTACAGTCAAGGAGAAGAAATCTAATGCCCCACTAACGGGTTGTACAATAAATCCTATGACGGCACGCCCAAGTCCACGAGCAAGTCCTAAGAATCCATTCTGTCTGGCACTCTCCACAGGCTTTGTCACAACTCCAGATACCCCAAAGGCAACACCTTGTGCAAAAGCTTCTGTTCCTTTAATAATTCCATCACCTACCCCAGTGATTCTCCTTGACCCAACCTATTTTGAGTGACAAAAACCTTGTTTGTAATTCCAGAATACACAAATAAAGTTGCCGATAAACAAAGTAAACAGGCATACCTGCTTAGAGCGTAATTGCATAAACTGTCCATCAGTTGAAAGCTCAGCAAACCCTTTACTAAGAGAAGCCAATGTGGAACTTGTCATGCCAATTACATCTACAGAAAATATCAGATGTAAGGGATTATGGATCAGATCTCTCCAAATACGATTTTGAATAGCAGGACCGACGGAACTCTTTCGCATGAACCTGTCCCTATGCATCACCCTCCTTAGATGTACCTGAGTTAAAGATATCAAAATGCTATATCTCATTTCCAAAAAAGTGCTGCAGTTTTTCTTCATATCATTTGAAGACAAAATCTGCAGCTCACAATCAGAAACAGTTGACTTCGAAGTAACTAATGCTTTTCATGAAAAGTCAATGATCCAACCTGAATTTTGAGTGCATTTCCGACGGCAGACAGTATTGGGCTCCATATGCCTAGAACCCCATGAGGTCTCTGAGCTGGCGCTGTCTCCAGGGAAACCTTCAGCCTTATTTCTGAAACATCTATTAACCTGTAAAGGCCATGAAGGAAGAAATTCTATTGCTTTGAATCAAGTCCAAAAAAATTCTCCACATTTGAAGTACGCAAGATTCCGTAGGGAAGAATGAAAACTTTTTCACATAACAGAAAAAGACACCTATACTTGTGAATACCTTGCATGATTGTGCTAATATATGAATGATAACTACAGTTGCACTGGCATATCATATCATAAAATTTGTGAATGAAGTCAAATTTGCTCTACTAAATCAAAAGAAGCCAGCATTGCTAACAAGAATTTTCAATAGCTGTACAGACTCATCAGTTCAATTACAGTAAGGATATATGATAAGTGCAAACATTGTGCAAGCTTATCAAATATATGAAATCATGATCCCAGTTGAAGTGATAGAGACCGTATAAGAGTTTTACAAAAATCACGCCAAACAAGGAAAATAGGAAGGGAAAAAAGAAAACAAATAACACCATTGCTTCGTAGCCAGAGTCCAATATGCTTTGGTTTCTTGATCAAAAGAGCATGGGTAGGTAAATGACTAGTAATTTTTAACATTCAGTTAAGGAAAAAAAAAACACATTTGAATCTTAGTGTGTGAACACGTGTGTATCAGAAAGAGAGGCCAAAATCAGGAAAATATGAGCAAAATCATCACTTCGTCTTTTCCACCACCCACTTTCCCAACAAAATGTGTTTCGCACCCCTAATTTAAGTACACATCAATGTTATAAGTGAGTGTGTGCACACACTAGCACACATGTGTGAGGGGTGGAAAGGGAGGCCAAAATCAGGAACATATCAGCAAAACCATCGCTTCTTCATCTTATCCACCACCCACTTTCCCAACAAAGTGTGTTCCAAACCCAGCAATGAGTTTAAGAAGACCAGCATTTCAGACATCAAAATACAAAATACAATAGCAATCAGAATATACAGGAGAAGAAATTAGAAATTCCAGGCAACACAGACTCCTATGCAAAACTAAGCCAAGACTTTTAGAACAGAACGCATAAATCAATCTAGCATTCATCAATCCAGTAACAATGCACTCTCCCACTTACAGCTATGATGGGAAATGAAAATCTCACCCTATATGTATCTCTGGATCAACTTCTGTGACATTAGAACTTTGGGGCAGACGATCTATCTGAAGGTTGTTATAGAAATCCACCAATGCCCAGATAATTGGTTCATGAATATTAAGCCTCAAAACCTCATCAGTAACCTAGCATGTCCACAAAGTTATGGAATTAGATAATAGATGTGTCATGTTCTCCTAAGCACAGGATCATATACATTTCATGTATCACTTTACCCGTATATACATATATGGGTAGACCTGGATGCCATCCGTGCTCTCATTACGTATTGTAATAGTCATCTTAAATACAGGATGATGGATGCCAGTGGCCTGATCAGGGGCCAACAGCACTGGCATCAATGTTAGGAGTAGTTGATTATCAATCTGCAAATTACCTAGTATGAGCTTGAACCTGCCACAAATGCACATATTCAGCGCCTTCAGTTCAAGCACCAAATTCCAATAAGAGGACATTCAAGTAGCATAAATTGGAAGATACTTAAAGGTTTCTGAGGTTATGCTAGTTAATAAACAGAAAGTAGGATCATGAAAATCTAACAGAAACAGAACATTGAAAGCAATTTTGCCACCTCTCTCCCCCAAGATTCACAAAATCTGTTTACTTTTACCAAAATGATTCATGTTAATACAGCATGTGATGTTCAATAATTGAACACGGAACATACAACAATTTTCAAACACTAAAGAGGCATACCTGCTTGTCGTCCCACCGTCATATCCAGTTGAATATGATACAAATACTCTCTCCAAGTACACATAAGAGAGCTCTTTTGGTCTATGATCCACTACAGAAATCCCAACCACTCCCAGCTCAACTATAAGCTCTACAGGCGCAGCAGCATTCTGCATCTCGTTCTTCATGTGTGAGGCTCCCCATTTTCCAGCAGGTGTCAGAGACATGCTTTCTTCATGTGAAGTTGAACCTCGATAATCAGTGAACCTCCCAACCTTGACATCACCCATTTCGACAACATGAAACTGCAATCCTAACTCAGCGTCTTCTGCAGAAGACATCCCAGTGCCTTCAAAATCAAGTTTCCAAATACTATTTCTACCATCACTATCAATCATGGCATCAATAACTTTTTGACCATATGGATCTTCCCAAGCAAATTTTTTTGTTGAAAGAGGTTCCAACTTAATCCAGGCATTGTCTTCAAATCCAGACTGCCGAATGCTTATCATCTTGTCAGTTCTGTTCTCAATTCTGTTAAATGACATTTGCAAGTCAGCCACAGCATGTATAGGTGAAATATGCATATGTGCTTACAGATATGTGATATGACTACCTGATGGGACCATCAGGTGATCCAAGGCGGAATACAACTATAAAACGTGATCCTTCTTCCAATGCTCGTATTTCCGTCCTCAAAAATCTCCAATTATGATTTTGACTCCTTAAAACCAGAAAGATAGTGTCCTCCTTTGAAATTTGAACAGGAAACGACCATTCTGTATCTTGTAGCCGAACCTGGGAAACTTGAAAAATGTAACTTGGCCAGAAAATAAATATAGTTTACCACACTATTTAATTTAAAATTTTAATTTCACAAGTGCTGGTTGGATAATTATGTACTCTTTGTTGTAAGGAATAAAAATCATCAATGTTCAGTAGCCTGTTGCTAGACCTTCAAAAGATCCTAAAGGTACCATTCATTCATGCAACATTTTATGTACAAAACCACTGTCTTGAATATAGGGATAAGAAAGAAAGCAGGCATTATAATTGATTTTTGGAAACACAAGATCACATTTACTGAGTTTATGACAGTATAGTCCACTGTTGATATTCTCCCTCTCCCCTAAATATGCTGTCTTTTTTAGCAGTAATGTTCTACAACAACTCTCAAACTTGTGATGCAATTGAATACTTAAGAAACTACTTTTTATCTACTCTGGCCCTCAAAGTTATAACATCATTTGCAATGGACAAAAATTGTAGATCTGGCATGCACTGATCATAAACAAGCGGTTTCTTTACAATTGTCCGCATCAATGTTTTTCTTTGACTGTGCAAACTTTAAATTTGAAGATTCCCCCCAAAAAAAAAAAAAAAATTAAGGGTTCAATGACATAAATGAAAAGCATAAGTGCTAAATTGAAAACTTCTCAAAGTTAAAGGACTAGAGAATGTATCCGGCATATAGGCAAATATAACAGAAGAAATATAGAAAAATATCGCTGATATTTTGACAAAAAAGATGGAAAGAGATATTTGAATATCTCTTTTAAGTATTCTTACATGTTGCCTCTACTGAAAGTTAGTCATCGTCCATCATATTAGTTATTATGTACATGATTTATAGCATATTGATGTATATATGGAAAATACCAATCAAATCAAGGAACGAATTTACAATTTTTAAATAAAAAATCTAATTGAAGAATTTAGAATGGTATGGTACTGAGATATACTATTATCAAGTAGCACTAAATATTGGCCAATTTTCCACTGATTCGGTAACAAAAAATCCCTGAATGATAGAGATTGCTATAATTACCATGTACTTATCAAAATTTCTACTAGGATTTCCATGCATTTTATTTCCTATTCCAACTGTTTGGGAGGCACTATTGTGAGTTGATCATTTATTAGTACATACTCATCAAAAGTTCATGTTAAAATTACTACGTAGTTATCAAAAATTATATTTTCTTCTTAGGTGCATATGGTAAATAGTTTGATCATTGTTCCCAGTTGCTAATAAAGTGAGTCAAATGTTTTCGTTGAATCTAGAAGATTCATACACTACTTCCGCTTTCAGGAGACATTCGCTAGTTACGAAGCACACCATTTCATTCTTGAGGGCAAAAAAAATAAATAAATAAATAAAACAAGAAGAAAAGAACAGAGCAAATAGAAAAATTATAAAGAGATATAATATCTATTTCATCCACAAGTTAAATTCCTCAGAATTCAATAAATATCAACTGCTAGAATTCTAGAAGGCAATCCACTGACCTGGAGTTTATCAGTTCCCGCTGTTTTGCGGTATGCAAAGGCAATTCTTGAATCAGATGCCCGTAGAACCTTTGGCTCATCTTCACTGTTTAGCTTAATAAATATGTCTTGACCAAGTCTATTTGTAAAGGTCATGAATGGCCGAACAGAAATTACCTAATAAAGAATAAAACAATGAGTTAAACACCAATAGCTGGGAAGATTTCTGAAATTCTGTCTATTGTTTGCTACCTTAGTAGGGACAGACTGGTAAGGACATGGTTTCGTAGAAACAAAAAGCAACATGCAGTTTCCATCAGCATCGTAAGCATAGAGATCCAGAGAGCCATCCTAACAACCCAAAAAAGGAGAGTTCATAACAAGGACATTAGTAATTGATAGCTTGATAAATAATATAAATTGATTACCATATCACCGAGGGGAGAAAGATCTTTAATAGGGCCAAAGTGCTGCTCCTGGTCAGATCGAGTGATAGACACTGATAAGCCCAGTAAATTAAAGTTCAATGCCGAAGCAATTGTATGACCTTCATATACTTCCTCTTCAGTTATTTCCCCAAGAATTTCTTCATCTCTCCTTTTAAACATAAACGGAAGAGCAATTTTTGGTGCATGTTTTCTCCCCACTAGATCTACTAGCCTAAATGTAAGTGGAGGACATCCGGCAATTGAAAACCAACAAGGAGCATAGACTCTAACGATCTTTGCCAGCAGCGGCCGTTCCTCGTCATAATTTTGATCAAGAATGAGTTGGACAATCCTGCACATTTCCTGATTTGTAAGCACATCTTTTTTGACAGAAATTCTAGTAAAACAAAGCATGCAGCATGTTTCAGAACCTTCCAGAAATTGAACTTCTTAAGGTTATTGTTTTTGATGGAAGTCCATGAGGATGAGATATAAGAACAGCTTCCTGTAAACACCATTGGTGAAAACTTGAGAAATGACAATAATAAAATAAATCAAAGGTGACTAGCATTCAATGCTGACAAAGACAGTAATATAGCAACAAATCAACGAGACTAACATGCTTGTGGGAAATCTTACATGTATTGGGAGCCATCCTTTTTGTGGAAGTAGTGAAAGGAACAAAGGTTTTCTGATGTCAGCAGTGTGAACCTTCACTATTTCTCCAGGAGAAAATACTCCCCTAGCACATGCTACAAAATGACCACTTGCTTGCCTATTGAGGACAGAGTATTCAGCTGCCAGGGGAAGGTAATTGCTAAAAGTTAAAGGAGGTTTGACCACAAGACACCAATCCTGGATAGGATCAGAATGAATGTCTTTTGCGATCTCTGTGGCCTGTATGCTTAGGCAAAACCATAATTTATGGGAACCCTTTGAAGAGGTACCACTTATCTGGCTGCAGTACAATAGTTTTTCAGACTCTGCAAGCGCTGATAAACATATTCCAGAGTCTTTTGGCTCGCCAAAACCCTCTGATGGTCCAGGCTTATCATCCACCACAGAACTCCATGAATATTCTTCATGAGTAGTAACATATGAAGGCCTTAATTGCAAGACATACAGTCCAGATTGTGTCAAGGCTGATAAAGGAAGAGGCATAGATTCTCCCGGCTTCAGTAATCCAATGGATACCTCCTGCTTTACATCACATGACATTTGTTTCCTCTTTCGGATCCATCTCCTTTGCCTTGCATGGTTTGCAAATTCTGAAGGATCAAATGAGTGGGGCCACTTAAGGCTCTCAACATCTGGAGAATATACCCACCCATCAGCATCATTGATGGACAAGGTATCCAAATGCCAATCCTCAATCCATTCCCAGCCTGATGGCAATCCAACTCTAGAGATTTCCTGTGAAATCAACAGGTATTAGAAATAAGATAATGGCACTATTTCTAATAATGACACCAAGATCAGTAATTCAAACTTCGCTGAATATGACAAAATCAGGAGGTACAAGAGCACAAAGGATTTTAAGCTTCTGAACATCCAAATTACATAAAAGTTCAGTTCAGTTATTATTCAATTTGTTTCACAACATTTTACGAGTAACTGTAGTTATGTCTCAATGGTGACTGGAAGAGAGTTATGCTTACATTGTCTGAGGTAGTCTTTCAAGTCCTAATATTATTGGCATACTAGGCAGTCTTTCGTCAATGGCAAGGATTTTCTGATTTTGTCAATCATTTATTTTTTATGCACTCGATGAAAAGTGACAATTTGTAATTGTTCCCATATCCTTAACGGCACCTCCTCGGTCCCTTTGTTTGTACACACATATTCACTATTACTTATCAAAAACATAAACAAACATGCATGAGGCACACAGGAAACAAGCTTATATTCATCACTCACTTGATGGTGGTCTCCACCTTCTGAATAATTTGAGTAGCCAACCCAACCAAGAGATGGGTTGTACTTTTCAGTTTCAAAAAACTCATCAGTGTGCACTCTGCTACCATCAATCTGTAAACCTTCAGGTTTACTTGCAATACTCAGTGACCTGTTTTCCTTCAAAGTTTTCAGCGCAAGACATAACTCAAGTAAAAAATCTGTATTGTTATGCACCGAAACAAGAGACCTCATGTTCACATATATATTTCCATCCTTTACGCTAACTTCACTGGCAATTACATCATTTCCTAACCGCCAACAAGCAGCAGGTGCAGCATAGTGTAGCCTCACAGTCGTCCAAGGCCCTTCCATGCTAGGACTAATCTGAATAAATCCAGATTTTCTTTTGCCAATAAAAACTTCATTTCTGTCCACAGCTTCAGCCCTGGGCGACAATAGTACAGCACATCTTATTCTCCCAGATGACTTTGTGTGCTCATCTCCTTGAGTCATAGTCTGCTTCAATATCAATAGCCTCAGAATTAACTAGCTGAAGAATCCTACAATAATATACACAAGACCAACAAAAGAAATGAAAATATTAAGATATGGAAGGAGGCATTCACCATAGAATTTGAAGAGGATAAATCGATCCAGGTTAAGTAATTCAGATAATCAAACTGATAAGAGCTTTCTTGGATGTTTCCTGCTATCTGATTCAAAGGAGCTGAAAAGAATCCAACAGTTTCACCTGTGAAATCATAGAGCAAGTTAATAATGGTGAGGCCTAATGTGTATTCAGCTACAAGATCTATTTAGTCCGTTACCCATACCATGTATGTAATCATTTCTTCAATTGTATAAATTAGCAAATTCTATTATTGGAATTGAATATTTTTCCCAACATAACAGCGACTATAAAGGTTATGGGAAAATAGACCAGATAAATCACTATCATAAGAAAATACAAAGATGTACCTTTTCCCAAATCAGTCACAATTAGTTCCAGCAAGTAGTTGTCCTGTTCACGTTTTGAAATTAGAAAATATTATATCATCCTTCTAGAAGGGAGAACAAACAATATACAGATAAGAGCAATTGCCACCATGATGAGGTCCACTTGACAATTAAACATGCTGTTACAAAAACACAAGTGGAACGATGTTGAACCTATCTCCAAGAGATAGAGCAAAAATTTGCAACCATGTGAAGTTTTCAGGATTTTCATCAATGTCCATAATAAACAGAAAATAGAAATGCAATTAAAACACATAAATTTCAGATGTAAAAGTGTGTATCAACAAGCATATTATGAACATCGAATGAAAGAATTAGCAGTTGAATACTGATATACTAATCAAGGATTATCTTACTAGGAGTAACTTAGGAAACGATAACATGAGGAGAAGAAAGTGTTGGGATTCTTTGCTATTAATCAGCTAGGAATTAGGCTGTAAATCAATGTAATTAGTTGTATATTTGTTTCCTATTTAGAATAGGCTAGGCAAGATTTCCTCCTTGAAGTAGGAAACAAGTCATAATATTTAGGACTCTTTGTGTATATATACGTGTTCTAGTATAATAAAAATTGAGGTCATTCAAACCTAATTATTCACATGGTATCAGAGCAACCCTAGACGCCTCATGTTCTTCCCACAGCCGTCCTAAGTCAGTTCTTCACCAATTTTTTTTTCCAGCAGCCCTCTGCTCTGCTTATTCCAACAGTATTCATCAATCTCTACACTGCTTATTCCAGCAGTATTCATCAACCACCATGGCCAGGAATTTAGAGCAAGCTGCAACTCTTAGTAGAGACGAACTTGATAGACTAAGAAGGTTACTGCAATCACAACAGAATCCACCAATTATTGGGTCGGGTTCTATAGCTCAAAAAGGTAATTTTCTTAAGGCTTTGACTATCAAACAAGAGCTCTATAAGCCTTGGATTGTAGACTCTGGTGCTTCCGATCACATGACAGGAGATAGGCGAGCTTTTCACACATATTCTCCCTGTAATGATGCTCTCACAGTTAGAGTTGTAGATGGTTCTTTGGAAAAGGTGGAAGGGACTGGCTCGGTTGTGGTATCCAGGGACATAACACTCAAATTTGTTCTATATGTTCCTAATCTAGACTGCAACCTACTCTCCATAAATAAAATTACCCAAGATCTTAACTGTCTAGCTAATTTTTCTCCTCATGTTTGTGAATTTCAGGATGTGACTTCGGGGAGGATGATGGGCAGTGCTAGAAGTCATGTTGGGCTCTATCATCTTGAGGTTCAACCGGATTCTGTAAGACAATCTCACCTAGGAATGAGTAACCCTATTTCTAGTAAAACTGATTCTTGCTTGTCTGTTAGTGAGTTGAAAACTGAGAGTGAGGGATCAATCATGGTGTGGCATTACAGGTTAGGACACCTAAACTTTATGTATTTGTCTAAGTTTTTTCCAAGTTTATTCAGAAATAAAAGCGCTAGTTCTTTTCAGTGTGAAATTTGTCAATTTGCAAAACATACTCGTAGTTCATACCCTATTCAGCCATACAAAGCATTAAAACCTTTTTCTATGATCCATAGTTATGTTTGGGGCCCATCCCAAGTTCCAAATGTCACATGGGCCCGATGGTTCATCTCTTTCGTAGATGATCACACACGACTCACATGGATTTTTCTTATGAAAAATAAATCAGATGTCCTTCAAATATTTAAGAATTTCAACACAATGATTAAAAATCAATTTCAAACTGTCATTCAAATACTTAGAACTGATAATGGATGGGAGTTTTTTAATTCTAATCTTGGCACATATCTATCAACTGAGGGAATCATACACCAAAGTTCATGTGTAGATACCCCTCAGCAAAAAGGGATAGCCGAGAAAAAGAATAGACACCTTTTGGATATTGCCAGGTCTCTGTTGTTTTCATCCAATGTTCCCAAACGTTTTTGGGGCGAGGCTGTACTTGCAACAGCATACCTAATCAATCGACTTCCATCAAAAGTACTAGATTTTTCCACTCCACATAAAGTATTTTTACAAAACTTTCCTCAAAGTTGTCTAATTTCCACTCTTCCTCTAAAAATATTTGGGTGTACTGTGTTTGTTCATATACATCAACAACATCGAACCAAGCTTGACTCTCGATCCACTAAATGTATCTTTCTAGGGTACTCTCCTAACCAAAATGGTTACAAATGCTTCTGTCCTGACAACCAAAAGTTCTATCACACCATGGATGCCACATTTTTTGAATCAAAACCCTATTACATCAAAACTGATATTCAGGAGGAGAGCTCTAGTCAAAGTCAACCACAAGAATATCAGTTTTTCTTAGAGAGCATAGATTGCACCCCAGAAACATCCGAAACTACAAATACACCTTATCCACCAGAAAGTGCTTCTAACCCATCTCCAAGTGTCCAACCTGAACCTGAACCGCAACCAATTGATTCTACATCTCCCAATATAATTGTCTACCATAGAAAAAGGGGAAAGCTGAAGGAATCAGAGACTTCAGCAAATTTACAGCTACTGCCAGCATTTGAACCTGAGGTAAATATCCCTACATCTGATTTACAAATTGTGGAGGAAAATTCTGCAGGTTTTAGTTCAAGTAATCTTGGGAATTCCGATGAGAATCTACCCATTGCACTCGGGAAAGGGGTGAGAGAATGCAGAAGTAAGCCATTGTACCCTATTGGGAACTATGTGAACTATGATGGGCTATCTTCATCTTACCAAGCATTCACCAGAAAAATCAATTCTATATCCATTCCGAACTCAATCCATGAAGCCCTGGCCATCCCGGAATGGAAGAAGGCAGTCAATGAAGAAGTTAATGCTTTGTTGAAGAATGATACTTGGGAGATTACTGATTTGCCTCATGGAAAGAATGTGATCGGGTGCAAGTGGATTTTCAATGTAAAAACAAAAGCAGATGGTAGTATTGAAAGATACAAAGCTCGGTTAGTAGCTAAAGGATTTACTCAATATTATGGCATAGATTATGAGGAGACCTTTGCTCCGGTAGCAAAACTCAACACTATTCGAATACTCCTCTCTCTTGCAGCTAATTTGGATTGGCCCCTCACATCAACTAGATGTCAAGAATGAATTCTTGAATGGGAATCTAGAAGAAGAGGTCTATATGGACATTCCCCAAGGACTACAGAACTCATCAAACATCAACAAAGTGTGTCGACTAAAGAAGTCACTTTATGGTCTTAAACAATCACCCAGAGCTTGGTTTGAGAGATTTACCAGAGCAGTGAAGAGTAATGGGTATATACAGGGACAATCTGATCATACAATGTTTGTAAAACATTCTTTGGAAGGACTGATTTCTGTGTTGATTGTCTATGTTGATGATATTGTTCTAACAGGGGATTATGCTAAGGAGATTTCAAGAGTCAAAGAATTTCTGAATAGAGAATTTGAGATCAAGGACCTAGGTAAACTCACATACTTCTTGGGAATGGAAGTGGCTAGGTCTAAGCAAGGCATTGTAGTCTCTCAAAGGAAGTATTTACTAGATCTTCTAAAAGAAACAGGTATGCTTGGGTGTAAACCTGCAGAGACACCTATGGACTACACCGCCAAACTTGGGTCTGATAAGGATAGTGCTCCGATAGGTAAAGGAAGATATCAAAGACTCGTTGGGAAGTTGATCTATCTGTCACATACTAGGCCAGACATAGCATTCTCAGTAAGTGTTGTTAGCCAGTTCATGAACAACCCTACTGAAGAACACATGACAGCGGTGTACAGAGTCTTAAGATACTTGAAAATGACTCCAGGTAAGGGACTATTATTCAAAAAGAACTCAAGTAGGGAAGTGGAATTGTATTCTGATACAGACTGGGTAGGCTCAATCACAGATAGACGATCCACTTCTGGATATTGTACCTATGTTTGGGGAAATTTGACAACATGGAGGAGTAAAAAGCAAGCTATGGTAGCTAGGAGTAGTGCTGAAGCAGAAATTCGAGCAATGGCTCATGGTATTTGTGAAGGAATCTGGGTGAAAAGAATATTAGCCGAATTGAAGATACCTTTTAAGCGATCACTACAACTACTTTGTGACAGTCAATCTGCCATCAACATTGCTAAAAATCCAGTTCATCATGACCGGACCAAACATGTGGAAATAGATCGGCATTTTATCAGAGAAAAACTAGGAGGAGGAGAAATCAAGCCTACTTACATTCCTTCTAATCTACAAACAGCCGATATCCTAACTAAAGCACTTTCAAGGACGCATTTTGAAGATCTTAGTTGCAAGCTGGGTATGATAAATATTTACAACCCAGCTTGAGGGGGAGTGTTGGGATTCTTTGCTATTAATCAGCTAGGAATTAGGCTGTTAATCAATGTAATTAGTTATATATTTGTTTCCTATTTAAAATATGTTAGGCAAGATTTCCTCCTTGAAGTAGGAAACAAGTCCTAATATTTAGGACTCTTTGTGTATATATACGTGTTCTAGTATAATAAAAATGGAGGTCATTCAAACCTAATTATTCACAGAAAGGACACATGAAAATGGATGATTTGCCCAGCCATTGACCATTAACACAATAAAATTCAGGAAACTGAAATGTTACTACAGCAATACAAATCAAATAGGGAAGCAAAGGCAACTATGCTTTATGGTACCAATGTCAATCAACGGTAAGTTGTTTAAATTACCACACTAGATTAAACAGAAATATGAACATATTTATGGCAGTACAGGAACAAAAATGAAATTAATGCACTTGAATCTCCTCCCAACTCCCACCACCAGAAAAGGAAAGAAAAGAAAACTCAACAGAGAGAGAGAGAGAGAGAGGGAGAGAGAGAGTTTCTAAGCTAAGATTGTCCTTCACAACAAAAACTATAAACGCCTGACTATGAATTACAGAAATGGCGTGTTGATTCAAATTAAAGTGATGAGAACTTGCAAGACCAGAAAACAGAGGAAATAATTATAGGTAAAACAAGCAGTGCTGTAAACCCTGTTGAGTTTGATTGACCAGTATGGTTATATATTTAACATCTGATTTAAAGGTGAGCATTAACATGGTTTTTAGACTACAAAGAACGAATATCTGATTTTATAGGATGTCCCCCAAGGTACAACATGAATAGAGGAGTATATATTGAAGGATATAACACACAAAAAAAGAAAGAAAAGAAAATGAGTTCAAGAATCTTCGCTTCCATGGTAGAATTGCATGAGGTAGGAAAGGCAGAAATATCGTCTGTGAAAAGAGTCAAGACCAAGATACAGAGAGATTGCACTGAAGCCATCAAATTTCAAATATATGAGAAGAAAGAGATTTACGCACTGGAATTAATAAGAAAAAAAGTTAGATGGAATATTCCATACCGGGGAATCAACTTTAAGGAAAAATATTTCACTCCAGTCGACCAATTCCAGCTCATCAGACAAGAAGTTTGAAATGCTTCCACTTGTACGTGCACTTTGTTGATGGAGCAATGATTCACTACCAAGGTTTTGGTTTGGTGTAAGGCGGAGTGCTACAACGTACAGATTGGAAGTCAACCCCCTAACCCTTGGCAACTACATCAGAACATAAAAAACAATTGGATGGTTAAAATATGTAATAGCATTTAGAATATTAAACACAGTATAGCAAAAGGATCATAGTCATCTCTACACAGGGAGGTGTTAAATGAACGGAATAAACACATTCATACACATATATATACAGACTCCAGGCAATCAAAGCCAACATTAACCAGCATTTCAATCAATTCTTTAAAGAACTGTTTTGAAACATTTTGTTTAGAATAATGATTATCACCAGATAAATAGATTATGTGTTCATGACTGAAGACTTCCTTGAACTTCCATAACCCAAGTCAAGGATGCCAAAGCTCTCCGAAAACAATTTCAACTATATAGCTCGCTCTAGGTCCTCTCATCTTATCCTCTGTAAATATGGCCATAATTGTTTTCTAGAGAGCATTCAAGGGAAACCATGTGATGGTCAAAACCAGCATGCACAGATCGCAAAATGCACAGAGTCCGTAAACAACATACAAGTTGGACCGTTAGCAGCAGTCCAATTAAATGCTACTCTAATAAAAACCAAGCTAGCAACCTTATCAAGGAAAGTGGCTAATCAAGATAATCAAGGGCGTCAATTTACTTCATAGCATCAACAAGACACAAACTCACACGAAAAATCAAGGGCGTTAATTTACTTCATAGCATCAGCATTAGTAAAAGCAATTTCAAATGAAATGAAGTCAAGTTCCTATATGACATAAAAGAGAATAATTGTACCTGTGCGTCCACTATAGCAACTGTCACCATTGTTCTAACTTTTGTGCTGAGTTTGCCTTTCAAGTGAGGTTCCATCATATTTCTAGAAACAGGAACTTTCACAGGCTTCATGTCCCCAGATGGCATTCTCAACACATCTGAGAACCCCATATTTTCAGCTGCTCGAATAAAAATGTCATGACCAAGTTTATTTTGTGGAATTATATAATAATTTCTCCTATGATGGACATCGATGACAGATCTCGAACCATGTGTTGGTGAAAATGCTTCCTATTTGACAAAAGAACACATTAGGTGATGTGTTTGGACATATATACATATATATAGCAGAATAAATCAGCATTTGACGCATGCCAAAAGAGAGAGGAGAGAGAAGTTACTCTTTTTTTATAATATTCATGGGCATGGCTAAGGTTGCTCCAGCTTGCATAAGCTTGAATAATCATATTAGTATTAGATACTGAAACATTTAAATTTAGATCCCTGGTTGATGTCAAGCGTAACTGAGATGCTGCCCCAGGGGCATTGAGGTCATATTGGTACCTGAAAGTGACTACAAATCAGCCATCAAATGGAAAGAAAATTACTGCAATAATGTTGAAAGCCAAACAATGAATCAAAAGAACTAGCAAAACCCAGAATTGCTGTGCACCCTAACTGCAACTCCAAAAAACAATTGTACCTAAACAAATGTACAACATACACTCAGTGCAAGAATATATTAGATTTTTCATCTCCAAAAACGATAGAGAGAGATGAACAAACTAATCTCTAGGCTCGTAACATGTAAAGGAGTGTATTATCCAGTTCAGGTTAGCGAGGAATATGTTTCAGGCACCACTCTCTAGAAAAGAACCTGTCTCAAGAGGCCATTTAAGATCACCAAAAAAAAAAAAAAAATCAGGACTACACTTCCAAACTTCTAAAGCATAATGAATATAAAAAGTCAACATGTGCACCATCACCAATAGTAGGTTTGTTTGCCCGAAAGTAAGCCTCCACCAAGACTTCCGTATATACTCTGGTAAATTCTACCAACAATGGATCTTTAAGGAATGTCAAAATGGATCATTTTACTAAAACACCACAGTAAAATAGTTTATCTCGATGCTATCCAAACAACACAAAGTTAAGGACTACAATGAGAAGTGCCATATTACAGTCTATCTTCATGCTCCACCATAGTTCAAATATCAAACAATGCATGCATGGAAGTTGCTATTTCCCCATACGATACTTTACTGCTCCCTAAATAGAAGTAAACAGCTTAGCATCTTCCACGAGATGACCAATGCTGTTCAGATACAGAAATGGTAAAGGAGGAGCATTTAGCTTAACCCCAAGAAAGAACTGAATGCCATCTAATACTATTGCACATTTGAGAAGCCAAAACATGGTTTGCAGTGACACAGAGGAACATAAAGCCCCTTTGAACTAGCAATACAGATATTAGGATTACTTACTAAAATAAAATTAAAAAAAAAAAAAAAAGAATACTATCAAATTTAATTCATTGCCAATATTAGAATTACCTCAAATATCCATCTACTGGCTCAACAAGGGGCTCCCAAGATTCATACTTATCATTATATGATCTAGCAACCAGAGAGAAGTTCGCAGTAGAATTCAAGTAGTCAGCTCTTCCATGCAAGCTGAAACCTATTCCAGTTAAATGCACATTGAACAATGGAACCATCTGCAAATTCCACAATAGAATTAGTAAGACCATTTTGCTGAAGCTTCACAATAAATATTCCAGAGGAATCAAATCAACATGTTCAGAAAACTAGAATAGATTCTACACTTGAGAAGACGGACACTTTTACAGATGCTTGCGTTAGAGATCACACTTGCTGACTAATGGGCCTCAAGATATGAGATGTATAAATAACAAATTTTCTGTTGGTATTCAGACCCTCATGGGACGAATTAAGAAAAACAGGACAAAAAAGGTACAACTAGCATTTTGGAGAATACATTATTTGCACATTCAAAGAAATGAGGTTCTCCATTCTATTCATCAGAAGTGCACAAGGAAAAGGACAATACTCAAAAGCTGTCATGCTAATTAAACGGGAATTAATGTTCAATCACTTGCATTCCCCCCATTCTTTCCAAGAACCATATGGAGTCTTAAAGGAATAAGTTAAGCATGAAACTTCTTTTATGCAAAATTTTCAAAAATCTATATTTTATCTTTTTGACTTTTTGAAATTTTGGGTTACGAGAGGAGCAGAGCACAATAGATCATTTTCCATGAACTTCCTTAAATTAAGGTTTAGGGTTCCACTAGTGATACTTCCATCGTTGACAACATTTAAGAAAATCTAAGCAACCAGCCAAATCTTCAAAGCAAATACAAGGCATAAAGGCTATGGTAAACAAATCTAAAATGATTCCTTTTTTTTTTTTTTTTGGGGGGGGGGGGGGGGGGGGGGGTTGAATACATATTCCATTATGTTTAAAGAAAGCCAATACATGAGTTCAAAAGCTTGGCAAATGAATGGAACAATGCCAGAATTAGTTAGAACTACTAAGACTTGATTCTACCAGAAACAAAATTCAGAATCATTAACCAGATCATTAAGTTCAGTACACAACTTCAACTGACAAAAAATTCATACACAACAGGTTTTGATTTATTGATAATTCAAAGAGAGCTATAAGGGGTATATTTCTCACCAAACCACCATAGTCGTCAAAAATGGCTGCAGAAAATGTTCTAATTTCAGCATCAATGACAGTATCATCCGAACCACTTGGTACATTGGGATCTGCCAACTTTAGAGCAAACCTTCTTGGTGGTTTTTTTAAACCACTGCGGACAACAAAGGTACCCAATTCATTACCAACTGACCATATGCTAAACGGTTCTTTTTTATACCTGGCATCAGATGTATCCCATAGGCTTTCCTCCAAGAACTGATCCTGAGCAACCATATCACTCCGCATGCATCTTAATTTACTGAAATCATATTGCTTTGGTGGGCCTTTACATGCAATACAACCTAAGGAAACAAAGCCTGGGGGTGCTTGAGGCAACCAGAAAGAAATACTCTCCATTCCCCTCTGTTTCTTAATCTGTCCAACAAGCTGGAAATCCAGAGGAGCTTTGAAAAGCACTTCATCCCCAGTATCATGAAGGACAATGCTGGTATTCGGAGGCTCATACCTAACTTCCAAATAAACAAGGAGGTTTAGCTCTTTTACCTTTAACAAAACAATAAAATCTGTAAGAGAACCACAGTTAGAGCACAAACCCTTTAACAGCAATATCGCCAAAATATACCATGCCCTGCGGGACTACTGGACGCCATATAGATAGTTTCTTCCTTGAGCTCAAAGCCTGGTTCCACCATATCAACTGAAAACTGGCAACAGCTTCAAAACGCCGGCCAGAGTTTACAGATGTCGAATTTTCAGGTTGTATGTCAATGTGACCAGAAGGAGAAGCTTGTAGATCTGAGCTGTTGGATGCTGAAGAAGATTCTGAAAACCTAAATTTTATATCACGCAATTCATATGCTCTACCTATTAAACTGAGACTCACAGGATCTGCTGGCAAGAAAGTACCAACAGAATTGTCCACACGCCAAAAGGCTAAAGTTGAAAGGCATCTGAAATGTAAGCTCAAAATTAGAATGCAGCCCATTAAAGAAATTAATCAAGGAATAAATTTGACTAAGGAATAACAATCACAAGACATGAACACGAGATTAATGTACCACACATGGGCCAAGATACTTAAACCAACAACGTATTGCACCCGTAATTGTGTGTGAGTCCTTCCAACTGTTCTATGTGCAAGTGAAATGTTAATGGTCACAATAGCATAATATGATCCAAGGTGTTGCACATCAACAACTAAGTTTCCTGATCGGATATGTATTTAAGCCTATGCATGCATTCATCTTTATCGGATATGTATTTATGCATAAGCATATTATCTCAGAAATTAATTTCAAAAAATCGCACTTACGAATTGACAGAATTGATGGTAATACAATCCATGAGGGGACAAGAAGAAACTAGAGAAGCCGAGATGCAGAAAGAAGCAGATAGAGGGGGCGGTGTTCTTCCAGGGGACACTACACAGCCCAATGCAACATAACCTTTGGGTGCTTCAGGAAACCAAATAGAACAGTAGTTGCCTTCCTTGCTAAGGAAACTATCTAGTGAGGAATTAGAATTGGCCACATCTTGATCAGATATTTCCTCAGAAGCTAAAGGCGGCCAGATTTGTTTGAAAGATATGGGTCTTTTGACTCTTGCAAGGTTGGTATTCACAGCAAGAACTCCTTTTGTAGGCGGCTTGTCCCTGTCAAGTGGAAACCGGGCATACAATATTCAAGGCAAAGAACTGAAGAGAATGATCTTAGAAAAGGAAATTGTTAAAAGGTTTCACTGACAATGGTGTCAAAGAGTCACCAAGAACAGCATAGCCAGGAGGTGCACGAGGTCTCCAGAAGGCATATATTTGATCAGTATATGGATCTACACAGTACAATGATTATCAGGTGATAGTTCAAAAGCTCAAAAAAAAAATCATATATTTCCAGACGTAGACTAGTTTAGCATGTACTTGTAATTGTTCCAACTTTGTCGAACTGAGAACAGGGTATTGTTGTCTTCTTTGACGTCATCCTCAGAAATCCTAAAATGTCCTCTTCAACTGCCAAAAAAAGTCTCAAGATGCTGAATGTAAAGTTCATGAATATATCTGAAACAGATAAATGTATATTGGTCTTCCCAGAAGCATTTGAATATTTAACAGAGCTGTCAAAAGGCTCCAAAATCGTAATTCCATTACTCTCCATCATCAAACCAAGTGCACTTGCTGTCATTTCAATTGTATTGCCCTTCAAAACAAGCCTGAAAGCAGCCAAAGTACCTCAAATGTTATCATTCTATCAGTTCACATGTATTTTCACAAACATCTATAGAGTTACCTTGCATACTTCAATACAAAAAGCAACTGCTCCATATACAATAGGGTCCACATGGTTAACTTTTTTTGCTCCATTAATAAATGAAACAACTCATAACATAAAGCCAGAAAATGATACAAATAACATGAGGAATGCATAAAGACCAACAAATTCTGGAAACTGATGAATGAAAACATATGAAAATTAATGGGAAATGGTACATGGTGGAGCAGCATAGAGATACTACCATCATGAACAACAATAAGCATCATAATAAAAATACTGGATATTGCCTGAACATACTTTCTTTGACTTGTAAGCCCACACTGGGGCCTACCTACCCTATTAGGCCTGAAAATACTCAATAAGCATCATGACCTAAATATACAAGGTATTTGCTACATTAATTTTACGAAGACTTGAAAGATTATGTTAGCAATCAACAAATGAGAAAATAATAATCAGCTCAAAGGAAATGAAACTAAAGTTAAACAAACCTGGCAAATGCATCTAATTGTGCATGCAAAAGTTTGTTAGAGAGATTTGATGGCACCCCTACATCTTTTGATGTATTATAAAAGGTAAGCTCCGGGCTAATTGCCTGCAAAGAAACATCAGCTACAAAATATCACTAAAATGTGCACAACAGTGCTGGATGACACATCTGACTCCAGATGGCAGAAAAATTGAGATTGAGGTACCATCCTGGTTACAACAGCAGTAAGGATAAATAAACTCAAAAAAAGTGAACTAAGACAAGTGACAAAGGTTATTTTTAAGAGGTTTAAAGACAAGAGCAACTTTTTTTTGTAGGATTTGCTTGCATGAGCATTGAAATCAATTTAAGGTGAGAATAATAAAGCATTGGAGCTTTCAACGGAAAAAGCCACCCCAGCTGCCTTTTAACCCAGTCAAAATCAGTATGTGTGTGTGTGTACACAGTTATCTTCTGTCAAGCTTTCCCCCAGAATTGGTGATCCTCTTCATAATTTATTGAACTTTGGTCAATAAGAAGTTTACTTAAAGAAGGTAAGAGGAGCTCCAATCAAGTACTTAGGGGATATATGAAACACCCAATAACAAAGCAAAAACTAAAATTAAAGCTATCTTCAAATCCGATATTCGAACTGGAAGGAGAATATCTAGGATCATATCTTAAAGCTATGAGAAGGTGGATGTGGCACTTATTGAAAAAAGTTGATGGTCCAGCCATATCCGACATTGGACTATGAGTGAACTGATGAGAAAGAGTGATCAAATTGAAGGATTGTGACAGAAGAAGTGGAGAGGTAAACCAAAACGACATGCACAAGCAATAAACAATGATGTAATGTTATTACAACTTACAAAAGATGTTAACCCATAACTGAACTAAATGAAAGAAGCTAATCCATTGGACCCCTAGTTTGGAATTCAAACTTAGATGAGTTGAGTTTTAATGCCACATGCTTGGCATCCGTTTGTTAGCCTTACTAAAAAGTCTGTCGTATTCATATAAAATCTTTAATCTTGGTACAAATAAATAATAATTGAAAAGTTCAAATAAAACCATACTTAACCTGCAACTCAATAACAAACTCTGTGGATCTGTCAACCGCAGTGTCTTGAGATGGTTGAATATTAATACTTTCTCTTGAAGAGTCCACAAACATAGCCTCATCCTGTCCCTCCAGATGGACCTGATCATTCCTTGAGACAGAATAGCCACTATCGCTTCCCAAGAAAATACAAGAATCCAAATATTTCCCATTCTGCATCAACAAATATACAAAAATGGTCAACACTCTGGCCAAGGATACACTTGTCCACAAACTGCACAAACAAAAACATGAGAGAAGAAGGTGACACCTTGATTACAACATTTTTAAACTGTAACCTTTTCCCATTTCCAACATATATAATAGCCTCCTTGCTGGGTGCAGAGAGATTAACTCCCTGTCTATCTTTCAAATGCAATATTCCACCTTTACCATCATAAGTGAAATGTTCAAATCTTTCATCATCAACAATTAAGGGTCTCAATGGAGAGAGAGATTTCAGCAGAGGATTGCTGATATATTGGCTGATCCAGAACAATTGCATCAACCTCATGCATGGGGTTTTTATTTTCCTCATTTGACAGCATATCACCTATTGTTGGAACAAAAAACTCAGCAACAGCCAGAAGAAAATCAAGTGCAACGAGCAGTTGTGGGCGTTGGACACAGAGAGAAATAAATGTTGAGCATTGACCAAATTTTGCATCAACTATGAGCATCGTAGGGACAGGTTTGATCTCATCTTGTTTCATCGCATTTGAATCAGATATATGCTGGTTTTCATCATCAGATGAAAAGTGAAGGAGATTATAACCAATCTGCTCAGGCATTCCTACAGCCAGCCTAAACTCTTCCTCGGTTCCCTCACGATCATCAATGACAGTGAACCCTTTAAGTGTCGCTGACAGAAAACCATCCCCTAGGTTATTAGACTTGTAGAGAAGCCAAGCACCACTAACCTGCATGACACCATGCTAGAAAATTAAACTATAGAACTCTACATAACACTGCAAGAAATTACTGTAAGCAGGATGATGAATGTTGGACTGTGAAAGAGGCTTCTAAGACTGTAAAGAAAGATGAAAATTAAGGTGGCACTGGCTTTACTTCATCTGAGGTTGAATTGCTGCAATTGATAATGATGTCGCTAGATTGATATTAATGGACGTGAGAGAGAGAGAGAGAGAGAGAGAGAGAGAGAGTTATGGTAATTTTTAAGGCAAATAATGGTTGCTGAAGAAGATGATATGGTACATTGATGAATTTAATTCATGATGTCCCAAGACGTCAAGCCATCCCATGACAGATGCAGGCATCATGGGCATGATTGTCAACAAATACCATATTCACTTTCATAAACGATTTTAAGGTTCTTCACTAGAAATTACAAACACATTCTGTAATTAAAAATAAGCGTTATATTAATTTTGATGCAAAGCAAATGTATTACTTGCAAGATCAAAACTTAGTGACCATAATACATGCATACGCTAAAAGATTATTTTTTAAAAAAAAAAGAACCAAGCAATTGAAAGATCATCCAATGCTGCAACAACTGTGACAACAGCTGCTGCCCACTATTGTAACATAAAGGCTCTCGCAGACATAATTTTTAAATCGGAACCCCATAACCCATGATGCAAAAGTCATTTGATTCCATGCTGGGGTACAGAAAAGGAGATTGGAAAAGGTGTTGCATACACCATGCATGATTTTAAGCAAAGACTATCCATGAGCAACTAGGTAAGATAAAAAGGACAAATAACTTAATGATGAAATTTGAGAGAGCAAATATAATTAAATAAAACATTACCTTTATGGTGGCCAGCGATGCATCTCTGGCAACCCCAGCATATAAGCACAATTCAACTAGATTGATCACAACCGAAACCTCCAAAGAAATCCAGGCTTCCCTGTTCGGTATCTCAGTTTCCACACCAACTGGATCCTGAAGAACAATGGGGTTTGCAACATCAACAGAAGATGATACAGAGTGATCCTGAATAACAATGGGGTTTGCAGCATCAACAGAAGTTGATACAGAGTGATGGTTCAGGGGAGGCACAGTGTGTGGAGTCTCGGAAATATTTGAAGCTGCACATTCAGTAATAATCTGGTAATCCCTGCTTGTCAGAGCTGCTTTTAACTCCTCCATCTGAAAAACAATATTAGATACAAGAACGCACTTCAGTGTCCATGCATAAATTAAACAATGGAAACAAAAAGGCTATCATGGGGAAAGTAATCAAATAACAGCAGTTAAGAAAACAAAAGTTGAGACACCAGCCCCCAAAGAACACAATTCAAAACCTTGATTGCAGCTTCTGTAATTGGTATATGATGCAACAGGTCTCGAAGTGACCGACGAATGAGAATAGAAACCCCATTTACATCTTGGATTATGCTTGCACCTAATTCTGTTCCACTGCCAACATTTAAATTGATGTCCTCAACCTACCAGTCATAAGAACAAAATGAATAAACTTGTCCACAAGATAGAATTTTATATGGTTCTGGTATCTTGACAGAAATCAATAACACAAATCACAAGAAGACAGTTAGGAAAAAAAAATTATGGGCATGGGAAAATTGATTGTCACAACAAGCCTTCTGATTATTTTATACTACAATAGGTCAAAGGGATAGAACCAAGCGTAAAATTTTTCTTTTGGATGACTAATTAAATAAGGCTACTCGGCAAATCTTGTCCTGCTATAATGCTCACCTTAATTGTTAATATTTCTAAATGAACGGCATGCAACTCACTTTTGTTGCCACCAAGCCATTGAAAAGAGTTCTGAACAGTTATGTGAACCACGTCAAGTTTCAAGTAACTGCCCAAGAAATTACAAATGATTAACAGGATACATCAGCAATCAGGGCAATTAGAAGACTAAAGTGTAGGTGACAAAACAATCAAAGTAATTACCGGAAAATAATCATTCACTAAGCCTAACTGCCAACTTACTCAAGACTATCTGTTCTTCGAGGCATCAATATTATAGGTTTCCTGAGTGAAAGATTCATCTTCAGAGCTGGTGATCCTTCAATCTCACTGGTCGTAAACCACTTCTCAGAATTTGTTACTTGATCTTTAAATTTGACAACATTTTTTGAATTGTTGGGAACAAGACCCGTAAAGTAACTCACCACCTACATATCAGTTTTGGAGACACATGAGAAACAGAATAAGACTGAAAAAAGGTTGATATTACTTGAAATTAATTTACCTCCTGAATGAAGCGATTCAAATAAACGATGCGCACTTCTGAAAGCTGCCCAGAAAGGCTATAGTCATAACCTTCATAGTCTTCATCATCAGCGCTGAATGAAGTAAAAACTAACTGCATAATTACAAGTGAGGGATTTCAAAATGCACAACATAAACAAATAAATAGAAGTACAGCAGAGAGGATACCAGATCTTAGAAAAGATGAGAAAATGCAGCACAAAATGGCACGAGATTGAAAGATTGAAATATAGGTAATAAAGAAGCCCATCTAAATTCATTTTATACAGCCATTTCAAAAATTAAGGTTTTATTACATCGCATGCAATTTATAATCTCAAAGTTAAAATAAATAAATAAGGAAAAGTCTTTCGCAAAAAGGAGAAGGAAAACAGAAAAGAGAGCAATAAGTACCTCAACAAATGAACTGCCCCCGGGATTTCTCATATCACAGATCCAGAAATATGCATGACCAACAGGAAGACTGTCATCACTAATTCTTAGATTTCCCAGGACTGCCTTTATACTAAAAGAGCTTGGGAAAACCTTATTAAAAAAAAAAAAAAAAAAAAGGGAAATGTAACAGAGATTAGAGAACAGAATTTGAATCTTAGGAAAAGAAACATGAATAGTATGGAGAAGGGGAGAACAACAAACCTTGATATCAGTAAGCAGATTCTCTTGCGACAAAGTAGCAAACTTAGTTTCATTTTCATGCATTAACAGAATCTGAGCACGGGCCATTTTTAATATCAAATTGAAAATGATCCGGGATTTTCCCTTCCCTAGCAAACCCTTAACAACAGAATCCTCAATGGCAGTTGAATCTTGATCATCAACCACATCATCTCCAGAACTATCATGTTTTACTATTGCTGATGGTGAATTGTCGTTAAAAGTTTCACATTTTTCGTCTTCAACATTAATGCCACTGACAAATTCCATGATAGCAAGAATTGTGGGTCTACGGCAGAAAAATGACAACGTAGCCAGGCTCACCGTGACCTAAAATAATAATTTATGCAAAAGTCAGTCAGTTCCCTACAAACTACAAAGGTAACAAGGGCAGATGACTAGCACAGAAAATTGGCCACCTGCATGTCGATGTTTTTGTATAAAGGAGAGTTCTGATCATAGATGACTATCTGAGCTTTCACAAAACTATCCATGGTATCCATTAGTTCAGTATCCTCCGTCCTAGCTTGAACAGCATCACCAGGGAGTAAGACCGCAATACGACTAAAACTGGGAGGCTTGAATGATGAGTATTCAAGTGAAAGTGAATTTTGGGAACTTAGACAATCAGAGTCAACCAAATTTTCTGGTGCCTCATAGAACTTGTCTTCTCCTTCACTTGGAGTCGAATTATTGTTGTCAAAAGTTTGATTCCCAGTATCATCAAAGAATGAGTACGCATCTGAACTTTGGACAAATGATCTTGCAAGGAAACAAGGCTGAGACACACCATTGCAGCAAACTAAATCTTCAATCTCTAGAGATTTGAGAACAGTGCCGATGAACATATCATTCTCTCTGATTGAAAGTTCAACCTGTGTTCACAAATATAAATCCTCAAAGGAGAGGAGCATAAACATCTATAAATACAATCATCACTCGGCATTATTTGTACCTGGCCACCTATTGCTCGAAATTCAAACAAGCGATTCTCTTTAGCAAGAAGCATGTTAACAGAACTCTGGTCACGCTAATAAAGTAGCACATTTATCAGATTTCTTAGCAATTCCATTGCAAGGAATATCATGACATAACTAATCCAGGCTTACCTGATGATTGTAATTGAAGCAGATCTTTAGCTCATCAAGAGCACCCGTAATAAATAAGCGCTCCATCTTCAATATATTACTTGCATCAGTATTGTCATTACGTTCTGTTTCTGAGTCCTCTGGATCAGACGAAGTTTCAGAAAGAGTAGTTATAGGAGCAGGGCCCTGTGCAGAAATCAATTGGTAAGAATCCCTTTCACTGCTCCACATAAGCATATATCTGATAAGCAAAAGTTAACGGTGCAGTAGACAAAAGAACACCGAGATGGATTAACCTCTAAGGCCAAAAATAGCCAGAAAAGGTCAGTGAAACAAACTGTTGGAGCTTATAAAGAGAGGGAAGCAAACATTTAAGCTTCATAAATACAAACACAAGTCCAAATCAATGTAGTCATCTTCCATGCAGTTTTTTAAGAATTTGATGATGCTAAAATATACTTTCGGCTATGCACCAGACTTACATTTGGTAAATATTTTGGAGGAACTTAAAAGATTCAGGTTTGAAGCTCCGTGGCATTAATGCATTACCCAAAAATTAAGATTGTAGACGTTCTAATCAACATCAAAGTCCTCACTGTGATCTTCAATAATTAGACAAAGGGTAATGATTGCCAACACATTACTTCTATGTTCATTATTTTAGGTGAAACTATACAAACACCCACTGTGATTAGACTAGTTTATACTGTCCAAATCAACAAAACTGGAAAGTTAAAACAATAAGAACAAACTGGATGCAAAAAAATTAAAGAGAATGAAAATCAATGCTAAATATGAGAACACACTTACGAAAAATATAACACCTCTCTTAAGGAAACTGGATGCTTGTCCAGTTTAAAGCAAACCTCAAGGGTGCAACCCATTACGTTGCTTGTGATATTTTATATTCTTTAAATCATTTTCTGAAAAAAAAAAATGCACCGAATGTGTTGCTTTGCTTGGGATATTTTATATTCTCTCTATCATTTAGTTAAAAAATGCTATAGTTTGACACAGAATCAATTTCTTTTTGCTAATAATATTTTTGAAATCATTAATGTTCTGCCAGTTTTTACACATATAAATATCAGCAGAAATGATTTAAACCAAACAGGTGCTTGTTAATGGAAGAGTGGCATGGAGAAGAAAATCAACTACCTTTACCAAAATTAAGAACCAATTACTTCTTCACAAATCTCTAACAATTCATCTTCCCTCCAAAATCCACAAAATCCACAAACCCCACCCCCCACCCCCTGCCCACCCACCCCACCACCACCTAAACACCCAAAAAAAAAAAATAGTAGTAGTAGGAGGTGGCAAAAACCCCATATGAACTGCTTAAGAGGGGAGGGGGAAAAAAAACTATTCAGCTTCCGACCATCCTACTGCTTAAGAATATTGAGTTGGACCAGTTTTAAGGTCACAAGGGACCCTTCAATATAAAAATTTTAAAAATAAATAAATAGACAAGATCAAGTGTGACGGATTGAGCTAAATTAAGGATTTTACTGAAGCACGATATATGCCCCCCTGCAAGCGACTTTGCCAATTTCTCTGTGAATCATCAGAATCACATCGTAGTATCAGTGCATTCGCATCTTCCACAACCTACAGACAAGTTATGACAAGATTAAAATTTCATCAAGAATTACTTCCAAGTGCAAAAAGGCAATGCAGCTTTATTGTAAGGTCATTAAATTATGAAGACATAAGAACAACCTTGTTCAGGGGACGTGGAGCATCACAAATAGCCAAGACATGGTCCACACCACGAAGCAACTCTGCTGGAAGTTGATATAGCTGCTTTCCACGTAAGCTACAACAGGCATAGTATATAAAATTAACAAAGAGAACACATCCCAAGAAAATAAATGATAAATTTATTAACACTTTTCACCTACAACATATACCCTCAAACTAAAGTTTTGTGCCATATAATACTTATTTTATCTTCATCATCTTTGTTGGTGAGTTAATATAAAATCCTTTTTGGGCTTCACCTAGCAGCTTAAGCTTTTGTATTAAGAAGGTACCACCCTTATTCTCTTCAAATTAAAAATTAAATCAACACCTAATCACAGTGAAGTTGAGTCTGAATGAGCAGTAACAATGCTTAATCTTTTAGTTTTGTTTTGTAATTGTAATATGTGCAAGTTTCTAGCCCAAATGGCTTTCAATTTGACAGATTGTGTAAGTGAGTTAATATAGAACTATTCTTGGGGCTCCACATAACAACTTAACCTTTCGGGTTGAGATAGTTCTTTAACAAATATTATCAAATTATATAACATCCTAGCATTGAACTGCACAGTTGCAAAATTATTATGTACATTCGTGAAAAAGTTTTGCCACTATTTTCCTCTTAAGATACGAGGAAAACGAAGAGCAACCGTATACACTTTCTCTGTGTGCAGTTAGGGTTTATGCTAGTCGTCAACAGCAGGCGACCCTAAGTTTCTCTAAATTCGAGCCAGAAGATAAACGATGCATCAGAATTTGGCTTCAATTACTCTGCTGCCTTTGGACTAGAAGTGTAAAGAATCCATGATAATTTGATCAACAAAAATTCCCACAATCCTGTATTACTATAAATGGAAATATCCACACCCAAGCACACAATTTTGCTTTAGTGATTTCACAATGATACAATTTCTTACAACTGTGCTATCCTGCACTGTTGCCAAAATAATCAGCACATATTTCAGTCAACTTCGTTCTCATACCAATTTTTGTTTTTCCATATCAGTTTTCTAACACAATAAATGCTTTTTACTCTGGGTAGCAACTTGAGAGAAATAAGCCATTCAACATAAATAGCTCATATTAACAAAACTAATTTGGATGCATAGTGCCACAATTAAAGAATTTGCCACAATGTACTACCCACATACTTTAATCAATTCAAATTCTCTCCGGTTTAGTACTACCATTTTGTTTTCTAAGCCAATGTTTAGGTGCAGAAGGATTTTTAGATTTTTATTGCAGCAGTGAGGAGAGAAACAAAAACGTAAAAGGAGGGGGGCATCAGTCCAACATAACACAAACATCTATTAAAATTAGTTCACCTAAGATAAAGTACCATGAGCATACCAAAATATAAACACTTTATCTCAAAGAAAATAAATTGGTAAATATTGATCTTCAAAAAAATGAATGGTGTTCGAACCTGAGATAGTGCTTGTAAGATTTTGAGTCAGGTTTTTCTAGTACGTAAAGGAAAGGACCAACTAAGCAAATATATCGCCGCTGCCATACAGCTCCTCTATTTCCCACACCCTGTAACGAAAGAGAACAGAAAGAATAAAAAACTCTATGTATACATATATAGTAAGAGGCCCTATATATTCACGAGTCAAACCATGAGAAGGGAGAGAGAAAAACCTTTCGATTAAGAAGAGACAACCACCCCTCAAAGTCTGATTGATTCCAAGGACGAAGAAGATCAGAATTCTCACTACCTTCCTCCTGAAAGATCTTTGCCACTTGCATCAATCGATGATACCGAGCAGGAGAAAAGTGAAACCCTAATGATGGCACCCGTACAGCAAGTCTTGTAGTAGGATATGATGGGTTCTCTACTCGAATCTAGATACCAAAAGTTATTAGTTCCAATTTGAAGTGCCATGGTATCTCTTCCTCATACAAACAATAGTGTGTTCAATTTAAGGTGAAATATGCAGATTTTTACCTGTTGGAGTGTTAAGATTACACCACACCTATCAATAACAGGCAAGAAAGTAACACCTTCTGATTGGACAGAACTAGCAGAACCTTGGGATGATGTTTGGCTCCAATGGTAGTCACCATCAACCAAAAAAGCACAAACATCACTTAAAACCAAATCAAACTGCAAATACATATTGAGGTCCTCAGATAAGCTCCTTTCATAGTCATCCTGCAAACAGGGTCAACTCCATGTAAAGTTTAGCTGGTCGTGCGAAAAGTTAAGGTTAAGTTTGTGGGTTCACCTTTGAGCAAATGACCAAATTTCCCAAGTCTAGCAAAAGTTTTGTTGAATGGATGTTGTCAGGGTAAAACTCAGTAGGAATTGTAATCTTCGGAGCAGCAATATCCAGGTCCAGCAGAAACCTATCATCAATTAAATGCTAGATATCATCTTTATATCAGTTAAATATGATTAAAACACTACATTCTAGTTAACTAACGATGTGCATGTCAAATTAGAGTAGGCCTACACTATAGTTTAGGGAAGCCTAATTTCACCCTTAAATTCAAATTTTATTTCATGGAAGTGTTTAGCAAGCCTCTGAAAATGACTTATTTCTCTATGGCTTGCACTTGGTTTTGCTTTCAAGCTCTCTCTTATATTCTCCCGTATCCCCATGTAAAATTCTAGTTCCACCCCAAGTTAAGCCAAATTGCATCGATATCTGAAAGTGACTTATTTCTCTATGGCTTGCACTTGGTTTTGCTTTCAAGCTTTCTCTCATATTCTCCCGTATCCCCATGTAAAATTCTAATTCCACCCCTAGTTAAGCCAAATTGCATCGATACACATGACTTAACCCACCCACAACATGCCAAGATAGGAAGCCAGCTCCACCATAGTCTCTCTCTCTACAATATTCTACTTCTTGAACAAGCCACAGCATCCCTTCTCAATCAGACCCCCAAAATTAACAACTTCAGAGAACAAAAACACCATCTCCTTTTAACTTAGAGAAGAAAAAAAAAAAAAAACCATTAAAGTACTTCATCTTTTAGATTTGAAGAAGCCTGCTATTTCAAGGGCAAAGGAATTACGATATGGTGGTGCTGGTGACCGGATTTGGTGAAGTCGTGGTGGTGGATGATTTTCGCAAGTTTTTGATTCAAGATTTCAGAATAGGAGTTTTTTAGTTGGGGATTTGTTTCAATGATCACTTATGGCGTTGGCCTTTGATTTGGCAATGGTGGTGGAGGTGGTTGATCTGTGGTGTATGACTTTGTGGATGAATAGAGGATTTTGATAATTTTTAGCCTAAGGGGGGCAAAGGAGAGAGAGATTGGAGAGGAAACATAAACAAAAAGTTAAAAACAACTTTTTCTTAAACAGGGTTGGTGTTTTCTCCTTCAGTTAAAATTTAAATAAGAAAACTGATGCCAAACGCAATGTGCGTTCTCTTTGTGAATAAAATTTAAAATAAAATAAACACAAAGATACCAAACACCCTCTTAATAATTGTGGATAGTCGGATAGAAATAAAACTATCCCAAATAACCCATCAGCTTCTCATTGTGAAATATTTGTTCTATACAGCTTCATCAAGTTATCACAATGAGAAGCTACTAAGCATCAATCAGTTGCGTGACAGGCAACTTAAGGAACAAATTGGAGTGTGAATTATTTCTCTAGCGACATTGATAAAGACCAACCACAGGTGGAGATATTTGACATATTACACTACATAAAATGCAACGAAACATCACATGTTTTACTGCTAAACATAATGCTTTGCTCAAAATGGTGAGCAAGGCAACTATAAGAAATTAGGAATGACGAGTACCATACCTCGCATGGTCCTTCAATGCCCTGTTCACTTGCTGTTGAGCAGTGCGCTTAACCCCATCAATTGTCATCTAGTTATTGAAGGAAAGGAAAGAAACTATCAGCAATCCACACAGGGGATCTTTACTTGTTTATATGTAATTTTGCCATCACAAACATTTGGGCTTTAGACACCTCAGTTACAAAATGAGTGTTGACCACCCAGGTACTCTAATGGCCAGTACCTCTAATCACAATATGCAAAGCGAAAATAGAGCAAGCAGAATACATGATAGCTACAAACTCTTGACTGCAGCTAAGACAAACTCTAAAGTCACAGAGGTGGTGCTGCAGTGAATGAACAAATCATAAAATCCACCTTTAATTATCAGTTTTAGTTTGAAAATATTATTGTGCCAGATAATACAGGCACATGAAACTAGGAGCACATAGTACGGAATTCATTTAATCCAGTGCATGGTGATGCAATATCATCCAGGTCGCCATATCTCCACTCGATGTGAACAAAAGGACCACACAAACATGCAATAAACCACATTACTTATTGTGAAGACAAGCATGCTTATTTGATTTCTAATCTGAAGCCCTTTTGAAAAAAAAATCAAAATTCTTTCTTCAATTACTTGCAGTGTTTACTCCGAGAGACTCAGCTAACTTTAACAATTCCAACCACTGCCCAGTTTATGCACCCTCCCAATCAATAACTGACCATGATAATCTCACATCATAGCATCCTAATAAACTTGGCAAACACTTGCGGCTAGCTTTTCCTCTAATTTTAACACTTCCAACTACTACCCAGTTTATGCACCCTCCCAATCAATAACCGACCATGATTATCTCACGTTATAATATAAACCTGGCAAACAATTAAAGCTAGCTTCTCAAGCAAAATTCAAAGGACATGCATAAATAGAACATACCTGCACAGCAGCTGCTGTTTCTAATGCAACAGTCTGACTGACGGCATTATTGCTTTCAAAAAATTTGACAATCCCATCAATGGAATCCTTCAGATACTGGTCCAAAAAAATTATCAGAAAACAAGCACAAGTCTTAAGGATAATCTTAGGGAATTAGACAGTAGCAGCATACAGTCATGTAGCAAGGAGCAGCTTTCACAGCCATGCTCCAATCCACCTTAGCATCAAAAGGCTTATAGTAGAAGACACCAATTAGAGAACCAGATGCAGTTGCACTCTGCATGGAGGAATACAAAAAAATTATCCTACTGCTGCCAAGGAAATAAAGTGGTCTATCAAATTCAATCACATATGAGAAAATCCAACCTCAGCAAGGAGACCATTTGGTGATGATAACTGATATGACCCCAATTTCAAGTCAAAAACTTTTGTCTCTGGATAAAGCTTAATGCAGCAATCAAGATCCTCACATGATAATTCAGCAATATATTCCTCTGCTCCATCAACAAGCTTAGAAGCATTATGTTTCATGTGAACTTCCAAAGACATATTAAGAGTATCTGCCTTCTCATTAATTATCACAGACTGTCCATTGTCGCCTTCCCTATACCCTATCAACTTGTTTAATTGTCCCCAGTCCTCCTCACTGAAATGAAATGGTTCACTCTCATCTTTAAAAGATTGATTGTTCCTGAAAATTTAGATGCAGATTACAAACAGATAAGATTACAAGTGAATGGCATCGTCACATCAAAAATGGAAAAAAATATGATGGGATCTATAAAAACAGTTTACCAGCCAAATGACCACCATGATGTCTTGGGTTTCTGTTTCCTTGAGTTAGGATCTGATTCCATCGACTGCTCCACAAATTTGTGAGCCAGCATCCTGCACAACATCAAAATAATTCAAGATAAGAACTTGCAGATCAACACCCAGGAATATACCATGGTTTTGTACGGATATAAAAGTTAGTAAGATAACAAACAAATATACAGCTGCAAGACTAGTGTATGTATGCATCCAGGCAGCTACTGTGTGTAGACAAGGAATGGAACAGAGAAGCTGCATAGAAATATTTGCATGCAAGAATGTATGCTTACATTTCTATCTCATTTTTTATAAAATTCTCTCTCCTACCATAACATTGAGATAAGTGTGGTTGCACTGCATTTGAAAGTGCGTTTTAAAGTGCATTTAGATTGAAAATGCAATAAATTGATGCTTCTTATGGTGCTTTTGGATGGTTTTGGTATGGAGATGTTCAAACCATCGGAAAGCACCCAAAAAGCATTAATTGGATGTTTTTTCAGCTGAAAAGCACTTTTGCAAAAGCACCTGCACCACATTACCAAACATGCACATCTGCACTTGCATGCAACTACAAACTGCAATCATAAAAGTTAAAATAATCTGCATGGCTTCTAGTTCTGGTTCTGGTTCTGGTAGATGAGTAACATGGTACTCGTGCAAGAGGCATTGGACCACATACCTTAGGACAAGAATTATTTGAAAAGGAAGCACAAGTGCTTACTTTGATGTAAGTATATGTAATTTACTAAAGAAAAGGTAAAAACAGAATAAAAAAGCAGCACAACATCATACAAGGATGATTTTTCACCAAGCAGATCTCATTAAAAATCAAAACTCATTTTGCTTAGAAAACACAGCTAAAGAAAGGATATCTGCCATAAATTAACGTCATAATTGTCAATACCTCCACTGCAATATGAGTTCAATATCAAGCTCACGATCAAGTTCCTCGATTTCTTCATTGTCATCAACAATTGCATGACTGGGATCAGATTTAAGCAGAGAAGCATAGAGAGAGATATATCTCTTGCGTAAGCCTGCGTATCTCAGTACTTGCTCCCAAGATAATTTCCCACTGCCAAAAAGATAATGTCCTTAGCAAAAGCAGTGATAAAAACGCATGCAATGGTACACCAATGATATAAATGAATTCTCAATTAAGTTTTGGCTTACACCGAGGCTCTTCCATTACTGTATCTTTTTGTGCAAGCGATGGACAAACTGACTAGTCATGTTCAAGATGACATCTTGGTACATGCTATTTGCCTAAGATCAGGACAATCCAAGAGCTTGCATGGAACAAATATGTTGGTGCCAAGAATAGGACAAGGTGTTGTTAGTATGGAAGGAGCGGAGGACCATTTTAATACCTAGATTCCATCTAAAAGGGGAAGTTAAAGCGGACATCACCCAGACTAACATAAGATGACTGAAATAGAGAAAGCAACAGGAGTAATACACAGCTGGAAAGAACACACCATGCTAGGGCTGACTTTTCTAAGACCGCAATTAAACCAGCTATGCTCTAAGGTGATAAATGCTTGGCTGCATAACTACCTAAATTCTAGGAAACTTCTTTATTTTTGCTTGTTATTATAGCTAGAGCAACTTTCATTACTACAACATACTGGATAAAGAAAAAAATAAAAATAAAAATAAAAAGTAGCTACTCCAATACCTTGCTTTCTTCATCTGGTCTGAAACAGCTTTGTAAGCGTATCTCCACCAGGACCTCGGATTAGATTTCACTGGCACAAGTGGACGATAATGAGCGTATTTTAAGCGTTGATTAAAGGCTGCAAAATTATCAGCTAATTTTAAAATATCTCTGTATCCATCCTGCAAACACAGAGACATGAATTAATGATGAGCAACTGAACCTATCTCTCAAAAGCAAATCAAGCTGGACTTGAGGCATCAAAGAATACCTTTGACAAACTCAATGTCACATCATTCAAGTTCACCACCGCCTTCTGTAGAGGTTGGTCACTATTAGCAGATTCATTTAGCCGCGACTTTGAGTAAGTTGCATTCCCTGTCACTGGTTGCAGAATGTACGAGTGCCTTTTCATCATATGGTCTGCTGGTTTGCCATCATTTGTGCCAAACTTAAATACCTAAAACTCACCAGGGAAAATTTCATGATAATTGGTGCACCAAGATCAATGAAAAGAAGACCAAATAAATACTGCTTATTACTATATCAAAGACAACTAACAACACAGCACCTGAAGCCACTCTGAAGGTAGCAAGTCCTCCCATGACTTGTCAGTATTCCATGGTGATATATCAGAATCCAGATAAATAGCAAGTTGATCAAGTTCAACTGACTGTAAGACAACAAAGAATAGAAAAATGAATTGCAACATAAAGGAGAGATGACAAAATCATACACCTGAAACTACCCGAGAAGAACTATAAATTAATAAAAATCTTTTGTTGTTCATGGTTTGCTTAACTAGCCTTCATCTGTGCTAGTGTAAGGAATCTCACATGAATGGACAGATCAATTAGCCTTCGAAGTATCAAGAGCATACTAAGTTACATTAACTGCAGACATTTTTCTTTCTAAAACAGCCTTCAAGAGTATGCTCGAATCCGCTGCTCTGTTATAAGGAGCAAACTAAATAGTTTGATATATGTTTAAAACTAAATAGTTTGATATATGTTTAAAATTAAACTAGTGAAAATTGTTCCAAAGCTTCACCAATAATCAAGAATCTATCAATCTATCTGTATTTATCTACATACGGCATGCAAATAAGAACCTTCTGAATACGGTCTAGCGCACCCCCAGTAACAAAAGTTTCCATCCCGTCTTCATCAACTGTCACAGCAGAGAGTTTCCCTAAGGTTACACCAGCTGCAAATGGGTGCCCAGGATTGCTACAAAAATAGACGAAAGTTTTAATTAGAGTTAACAGATGACTGGAAAAATGGACACTCAGAAGAAAAATATACCTCTCAAGATCCTCATATCTGATATGGATATTTGAAATTGAAAGCTTCAAGTTCCCAATTATTGTGTTGATCAGAGATCCAAGCCAAGATTTATTCTTCATGGACAAGGAAAATAAATGTTGAAGGCACATGAGATTATAACCAGATTCAGGATATAGGATTTCCGTGAATGGAACTACCAAAAATATCAGACTATTAACAGTAGCAAACTTTTAAAAGGAAAAAATGGAGTTCCAACAATTATAATCAGCCAATTTTTCAGAAACAGACGGTTTATGTAATAATAATAGTGCATGAATTATAAAACTAGTTGCAAATAGCAAGGACAACAAGGCTTGTATAAGGTTCAGTAAGAGAATGAGAAAGGAACAGAAGGCAGCATGAATTTTTTTTTCATTATTTTAATTTTAATTTTTAAAGACAGCAGAAAAATACAGATCCTTGAACAATGAACAAAGGTTCATAAGAAAGACGCATCAACACATAACTTCACATGGGCACACACTTATCTAAGAAATATTGTGCCATAAAGACAATAACAAAAAAAATAGGATACAATGTATGCAACCACCAGGTGATCTTAGCACCAGATCAGAGGGGAGCATTTGTCCCATGCATTCTTCTTCCAAGTACAAATGCAGTTTAAAAGATGCAGAAAGAGGAACAATCACAAAGCAAAAGAAGGTACAAAAGAGAAGTGCCAAAGAAAGCAAGAACAAGAAACAATACAATCAGAATCTTTCTTCTTCTTTTTTAGTCAAAGTACAAGCCAGGATCTTAAGTAATGAAGAAATAAATTCTGCAAATAATTAGAGTTGATTAGATAAAAATGCAAATAACAGAAAAGACAACAAAGCCCTCAGGGAACTTATACTAAACCACAAGACATTGAGACAATCAAGGCATGTCCATACACTCTATATCAAATTTTGACCAAAAGCACGGCATTGTTGAAGAATGTTCCTATTTAGCTATAATATGCCTTGGAAGTTAGATTGTGATTTCAATAGTATTACTTCCTCTATTAGTAAGCTGAGATCTGTTTGTTTTGCTAGAGTGAATAGAGCAAGGGATGTTGTAGCTGATAGCCTAGCTAAATATAGTATTTGCAGACAAGGGAAATTTCTAGCCTAGTTCTAATCTTTGAAACTTTGTTTGTACTTTTTTCCTACCACTTTCTTGCTGGCTTTTAATCTAAACTTATCAATTCACATCAAAAAAAAAAAAAAAAAAACTAGTAGGTAAGCAATTAGTAATTTATCCAAGAAGAAGAACATGAAACTACTGGTTATCCTCTCCACCCACATAAAACTTGCAAAGTTCTTAATCTTCCATTTCCAGATACACGATTTAACAGTTACTTCTGAGCCAAAAGTACTGGTGCATCTTACAGAGGCACCTCAAGCAGTTTGCTTAAAAACCAATCCACAATTATTACATGTCAAAAACACAAGGTTGCTGCACATCTTTCAGCATGAAGTTTCATTGCCTACATCAGGAAGTTATCTTTGTTATTAAAATGTACCCTAAGAAAAGGGCGTGTAACCCAAACACTAGATATCCAGAAAAGGCACTCAAAAATTTTAAGCCAACGCCAAAAATATAGAAATAAATAGCTGCTAATGACATCTGGATAGAATTAAAGTAGCAAAAGAAAAGATGAAGGGTGTCCAGGTGAGTTAATAAAGAAAAGGAATTAAGACTCAACAAAGCAAATTAGAAGGTGGATCATCCTCTAAAACCTTATTTTCCTGCACGGAAAATTAAGTTGACAGTGTTGCTTATTTATTGCATTAATTTGGTTGTGCCTAGATCCATACATGATTTACAATTAAGTTGGGGAGAATTGAAGAGCAGGGCTGATAGTTTCATTGCTTACAAAAATAAAGAAAACATACTCATAAATTCATCAGATTTTTCCCATAGTCAAAATGATTTAGCCTCAAAAACTCCTAGGCCATTTACTTAAGATCCATACAGAAAATTACAAAAGGCCTCCACTAACTACAATTCCCAATCTTGCAAACTTTAAATAGAAGTTGTATGTCAATGCCGACTATCATCCACCCATTCTAGTGAGTTGCATGAGTCTCATCTTATCATGCTGTCAAGAACACAAGGAAAATAATAACTCTTCACGCCAAATGTCATGCCACAACAAAACTCTGGTGCTATATCCCACTTAACATGCTAAGCCTGAAAATCATCTTTAATGTTCTCCACAAACTGACTCCAGAATTAGTTCTGAATACAGAGGAATTGCATGACTTAGGGAAAGCAAGAAAAAAAAATAGATGGCACATGGAAGCAATCAGTTTCTTTGGGGGAATTTTCATACAAGACACAAGGTTACATGTCTTATATATCTATAACAAATATAGATATAATACCGGAACCCAATATCAAATTACTTTTTTCAGAAAATATTAAACATCTGTTTCAAATGAAAAAAGTGAGAGATTTGTTCATTAACGAGTAAAAGGCAAACAAAAACAGGAATTCTAGTCAACTGCCAATTGGCACATGTTGCCCAGTTACAGTGGGGATTCTTCTGGATCGTGAAGCAACATCTTATTTGGTTTGAAATCAAAAGACTAGCTGAAACCTATAACCTAAGCCCAACAAAGTAGTAGTTATAATGGAGTCACTGATAATTCTAATGTCTGAAATTTCACAGCCAGAGAACTACCATACCATTTCTGACTTCAACTGCTGTGCCCTCTCCAAAAGTTTCATTTCCATTTCCTAAGCCCCAAAGAGCAGGCAGGTCAGTTCATAATAAGAAAAATATTCCATAGAACAAACAAAATCCAATTGCCGCTCACCATGTCTTACCTGAACTCGGCTTTTCTTTGCTTCTTGGACCGCATCCTCAGTACGCCCTTCAACTTGAGTTGCAGGTTCAGCCAATAAAAATATCCGATCCAAGTAAACTAAAACCGGATCCTGGCCAAGCCTGCTCCAGGGAACCTGAAATTGAAGCATGTCACTTATGCATCTTTTTTCCACACACAAATATACAGAATGCATGCGCAATATGCTTGCTTAGTTGAACAGCATATATGGAATATAAAACGATCGATCAAAGACATTGACTTCATATTTGCCACATTCATCTACAGTAACGAGTACAAAACAAGAGGGGAATGAGGGGTAAAGCATCCTCCTGAAAAACAGATATTTATTTCTTTAAAAAAAAATAACAAGGGCTCAGTCTTTTTCTCCATTGAAATAAGCACTTCAATTCACTTATACATTATTGAGTTTATATCACTTCTCCATTGCATGATGCTTGTAAACTATTTGGAATTTTCAACCTTTTAGAATCCTCTATGGATAAAGGAAAAACAGGATATCTTTTGGTTAGTTCAAATTCTCAACTCTTTCCACTTCTCTCTGAGTCTAGATGGAACAGAGAGGAATTGTTTTACACATTTTCTGTCACCCGTTGTCCAGTCCTAGAACCCTATTTGTTCCACAGTAATCAAGCAATCATGTTGAGTAAACCAATTAGCCCACTTCAATAAAGCTCAACATAAAACTGTCTCTAAAGAGTTGAAATTCAACAGAAGCAAGAAATTATAGTAAAATTAAAGCACAAAACAGACCTTGAGTCTGACTGATCCAAGAAATCCAGCCTTAACCTTCACAGGCAACTTCAACGCATTGAGTGCCTCGGGCTTCAATTGCATATTCGTTAGCTCTACATCACCTGTCTCACATTTTTACAAAGCAGTAACTAATAAGCGAAAAAGGAACGATAATTTTCTAAACCAAGACGAAACTACTAGAAGAATAGTGCAAACCTTGCCAAACGCTGATCTTGAGAGCTTCTTTGTTGAGTCCTCTCACATAATTTCCTAGTAACTTCTGTAACAAATACGCCACTTGATCCTCCAACATCTTTTGATTTCTTTTAGGATCAACGAATTTGAAGTAACATTATTGATTGAAAGGTATAGAGAAGAGAAAGAGCTGAATGAGAGAATTTCGAAATTCGAAAGAGAAATGTTAAATGAGTAGTGAAAACCTTTTGTGGTTTTGGAGAGAGATTCGCGGCTTAAGGGGCACGTTTGCTTCGGTGGTAGAATACGCTAGGTGACTTTGGATGGGACAAACAAGCTGAGGAAGACCGGTCGTTATTCACTCCGTAAAGTCCCTATAGGCGAGCAAATGGGATTTGCCTCGTCAAACGACTTGCCGTGCGTAACCCTTTGTATACCCAACCCTTCTTGGATGGGTACTGAATTGTACTGATTAATTCCAATATATGAATCATGTGGAATTGGTCTAAAGTCTAATGGATTTTTATGGCAAACTCGTTGGGAAGTTTTTCCATCAGTTGTTTCAAATCTCGAAGTCAAGGGCCTTTTGCCCCCACTTCTTATCCATCTGAGACTAAATTCCTACATAATCGAGTCTTACATTAACTATCTATATTTATACTAATATATTTTTTAAAAAAATTTCTTACAATTTTCTAGAATCAAAACTTGAGAAATAACGTGAGGAGCAAACCATTTTCCAAGTAAATTAAATCTTAAAACTTGAGTGAACTGTACGGTTTAATTGCCTGGCACAAGTTTGATCTATTGTTGTGTTAACTAATAATTGTCTTGACCACTTATTGAATCTTGATGTGCCATTTAACAAATTTATGGGTTAAGCTTGATCACTTTAAAATGGTTTTTTAGTCTAAAATATTAAATTCCATTTACAATTACATAATTTATTATTTATTTTTAGAATCATAGGTATTATCTCATAGAAACAAAAAACAAAAGTGTGATTAAAAAAAAAAACATAATAGAATTTTTTTCAACAATAAAAGATATTTTCGAGGTAACTGACATTAATCTTTTTATTATTATTATTATTATTTTAAGAATATACAGTTTGCATTATCTTGTTGCATTCAGAGAAATAAACTTTTTCTATATGATAATCCTAAGATTCGTATTAGCAAAGCTAAGAAATTGAGCAAAACCTCATTTGTCACTAAAAGAGCATATGGGAATTGAATATGATATAATAGAGCTGTGCTCACATAAAATGGTATGCAACTTACTATAATGAAAACGTTTTAAAAAGTATACTAGCTAATTTGGCTAGAGGTTTATAACCAAATTAAAAGGATTGTGTTCATAATTAAAAAGCTAATTGTCATAAATGAGAGTTTTTTTCTGAAAAAAAAAAAAACACTTATATATATATATATGTCAATGGGCTAAGTTTTTTTTCAAATGATCGTAATGACATATCTACTACATTTGTCTATGTGATGTATTTAAAAGAATTTAATTTTTTTTTTAAGAGCGAGAGATCGATACTAGCTCAAGGCATAGGCCATTAAGGCTTATGCCTAGGGCTCTATAAAAAGGGGAGCCCAATTAAAATTTTACCTTAAGCCTGCACTGGTGAAGAATGAGATAAATTAAAAGATGTAGCCTCCACCTAAGTATGAGATGTCATTCTTCTCTCCATTAACGAGTCATAGGTACTAAAGTTCCCGCATTGAAAGGCTCCCATTGTTCGGAGATATTATTATTTCAACGTTAAAAATTCTACATTTTCTAGATGTCTTTCCGAGTTACCTTCTACTTATAAAAACTTTCAATTTTTATTTTAGTAAGACACTTTTACTTACGGAAAAGTTTTAGAAAAATATCTATGAGTGAAACAATTTTTAGATCTCCAAATTTTGTTATTATATTCCTTTCTTTCTCCAAACAATCGGGGATCTCTTATAAAACATTTTCTAATTAGCTTGGCAGAAGAATGCGAAAGTAATTTTTTAATTTATGCAAATAAAACTATGTACATAAATCATATAATATTTTATTTTTTCTTTAATTTCTTTTTATTTTTTCGAGTGATTCTCTCTAGGTTTACTTGATTAGGTGTGGCAAGCAAATATAATCAAGTGCCAAAGTTTCTTACTCTTTTTATAATTATATTTTAATTTTATTATTTGAATAAAATGTCCGCTAGAAAGTATGAATTTGGATATGAAAAACGTAAGAAAAAAATATATAAAAGAACTAATTCAATCCCAAAAAAGGTGCACTTGATAGATTTACTACTAATATTAAACCTCAAATACTAGAAGAACAAGATAAAGATTTAAATGAAAATATAATTGAAAATTGTGAAGAAAAATTTGAAGATAAAAATTCAAATTCACCAAAAAGTAATGAAGAATATGATGAAAAATTAGAAGATGACGTTTCAATCAATAAAAGTGAAAATATTAATGATGAAGATGCAACAACAATTAAAAATATTTATGATCCGACACAATGAAAAAATTTAGACTCAAAACTGATTGATTTATTAGCCGAGAAAGGTCCAATTAGAGAAATTTTAGATTTTCCAAGAGATAAAAATTTATACACATTTTTCTACGAGTTCATTACATTCGAAAATTACCAAACGGAGAAAAACATGATAGAAAATGGCTAGTATATTCAAAAGAGTTAGATAAAGTGTTTTGTTATTGTTGTAAATTATTTAGTTTGAAATCAAATATTCAATTAGGAAATGAAGGATGTGGAGATTGGAAAAATCTTAGTGTCAAACTTAAAAGTCATGAGACAAGTAATGAACATGCTATTAATATGAACATTTGGGTTAATGCTCGGATGAGATTACTTAAAACCAAAACAATTGATAAGCATTTACAAGAGAAAATAAATAAAGAGAAAGAGCATTGGATGAATGTATTATTAAGAATTATTATTGTTGTAAAAGCTCTTTCAAAAAATAATTTGGCATTTCATGGTACAAATAAGAAGATTTATCGGGACAACAATGAAAATTTTTTGAGTTTAATTGAAATGATTACCGAGTTTGATCCAATAATGCAAGAACATCTAAGACGTATTCAAAATGGAGATATTCATATGCATTATCTTGGTCATAATATACCAAATGAGTTCATAAATATTTTAACATTAGAAATAAGAAATACCATTATAAAAAAAATCAAAGAATCAAAATATTTTTCAATTATACTCGATTGTACTCTAGATGCAAGTCATCAAGAACGGATGTCTCTTATATTAAGATGTGTAAATATTTCGACAATTCCAATAAAAATAGGAGTATTTTGTAGATTTTTTAAAATTGGATGATACTTCTAGTGAAGGTCTTTTTAATGAACTTACAAGTAAGATAAAAACTCTTAAATTTGACGTAAATGATGTGAGAGGGCAAGGATATGATAATAGGTCTAATATGAAAGGTAAACATCAAGGTGTGCAAAAAGATTATTAGATATAAATTCTAGAGCATTTTATACACCATGTGGTCGTCACAATCTTAATTTAGTTCTTTGTGATATGGCTAATTCATGTGCTAGTGCTATGACATTTTTGGAGTGACACAACGCATATATTTATTATTTTTTCTTCTACAAAAAGATGAAAAATTTTACAAACACATGTTTCTAATTTGACATTTAAGTCATTATCACAAACACATTGGGAAAGTCGTATTAAAAGTGTTAAAGCAATTAGATTTCAAGCTCAACAAACAAGAGATGCTTTATATCAATTAGCGAAAACTAGTGAGGATCCTAAAATAAAAAGTGAAGCTATTTCTTTAACAACATATGAGATTAAAAATTTTGAATTTCTATTAGGCATGTTTATTTGGTATGATATGTTGTTTGTTATTAATACGGTTAGTAAATATTTACAATCTAAAGATATGAATATTGCTCTTGCAATAAACCACTTGAAAGGTCTTGTTTCTTTTCTTAAAAGCTATAGAGAAAATGGGTTTACATATTCTATGATATTGGCTAAGAAAATTACGGACCAAATGAATATAAAACCAAAATTTTGTGAAAAACGTACAAATAAGAAGAAATAAACAATTTGATGAGAATGAAAATAAAGATATGAAATTATCCATTGAAGAATCTTTTAGAATTAATTATTTTACATATTTAGTTGATCATGCAATTTCCTCTCTTCAAAATAGGTTTGAACAATTTAAAATATATGAAGATAATTTTGGTTTTCTTTATAGTATAGAAAAATTAAAATCACTTGATGATGATATTTTGAAAAAAAATTAATCGAAGACTTTTTAAAGCACGATATGCTTTCGATATTGATGGTTTAGATTTATTTTCAGAATTAAAAGTTTTAAAAGAAATTATAATTATGGAAATGAAAACACCACTAGCCATACTAAATTTTATAAAAAAGGTAAATTCTTTTCCAAATGTATGGATAGCATATAGAATACTATTAACTATCAATGTTACTCGTAGCTTTGGCTGAAAGAAGTTTTTCAAAATTAAAATTAATAAAATCTTATTTACATCAACTATGTCACAAGAAAGATTAAGTAATTTGGTTATATTATCAATTGAAAAAGATTTGCTTTGTAAACTTGAATACAAAAATTTAATTAGAGATTTTGCATCTCGGAAAGCAAGAAAAATAAAATTTAAATAATGTTTAATATTTATTTGTTTTATGAAAAAGTCTATAAAATATTATTTTGCCTAGGGCCACATATATTATAAAAATCGGCCCTGGTGGAGATCTAAATATTTGAATTCATAAAATTAAAAAAAAAAAAAAAAACAAGCCTTCTTAGCAATCAATCCAAACCCTCCAGAGTTACTTGTATGAAATAATGATTGAAACAAAATTAGAATAGTAAGATCATATGATATGGACGTAAGAAACGAATTCTATTAAGGAAGATGTGGTAAGTAGGCATTGGTTGTAGAAGTTGTAGAAACTAGCGGTGTCTCCTTCGCATAGTCGCTTATAATGCCACTTCAAAAAAAAAATGCCACCTATTTTGCTTCAAATTTGCAAACAAAATTACCATTATCCAATTATGGTAAATGACGTGGATTATTAGTGAGCGAGGTCACTCGA